TCCTCGAATTGGGAGCTCGAGATCCCGTCAGAGACCTTGGAGACTCCCGAACACTTTCTGCGACACCAAAAAAGGACATCCCCCATGGCGCATTTGTCACTTGGAACTGCGAAACTCACCTGGAGGCGACTTGCTACGACACGCCACTGGTGTCTGTCCCTTGAACGCACGGCCCTTGCTTTCGGCGATGCAGCGATGAGACTTTCGTGCCTGGCCTGGCAGACAGACTTGGTTGCTATCTGCTTTCCTGCTAAAAGTTTAACTTTTAGTGGTTTGATGGAAAACCCATTAGTTGGCAAAAAGTTAAAGTCCTAACATCCCTTGGCAAAATGCACCAAAGCAGAGGTGGGGAATCTTGAGCGTGCTTGACACCCTGATGGACCGCCTTTAGGGTCACCAGGCTCCGATGCTCCAAGCTGCACACGTCAAGCCACGAGGCCACACGCATCCCGAAGCCGGAACTGGCTGGGCCCAGAATGATGAGTCTTGTGAAGCTGGGCGGTGCCTTTTTTTTCAGATCCCCTGCTTTTCTGTGCTTACCTTTTCGTGGCAACCACCAACCCCTACCTAAAAAACCTAAAAGAGTCTACCCAAACCCTACCAAACCCTACACCCCACCTAAAAACCACCCAACCAAACCCCAACCATTTTTCCAGATCCCCTAAGAACGCCTTTAAAGAACCGCAGGCCCGTGGGAACCGGAGCCATCCGAGCCCCCAGCGTGCGAGGGGTCGCGTCCATGCTGCCTGCGGCTCCTGCGGCTGGGCTTCAGTTGGCCCCTTGCGTGGTTGCTGCAACGACCCCCCGCAAAAAGTCTAACTCACTTCTTGGGGGGTTTAGTGGAAAACCCAACTTGACTTTTCCACCGAACAGTCAAAGTCTAGAGATCCAAGTCAATAGCAGTTAAGCTTGATGCCTGGTCTTGAAGTGAAGACTCGCTTGCCCAGTTGCCGAAAAGGACCTGGAAATCAAAAGTCTATCCTTTGAACCGACCGTTCGGCCATGCCCACACATTATGTGACATATCTAACATTTGGATCACAGACTCACGCATCATATGGCCCATAGACTTCAAAACTACAACCTTGGATGCCAATTGAAAAACACAACAAAACAAACTCAAACCCTCCTCGGGCACGTGCACAGACACACCCGCATACCCGCAGATATACGTACAAGCAAGATCCGGCCGCCTGCAAAGTCGGCCTCAACATATCTCAACATCTGATATTTTTTGGGAACAAGCAGCATCTAGGTCCTCCAGATTTGAGAGGTTAGACTAAGGGTACCAACTTTTTTCTGTAGTCTATTTTAGTAGGGGAACCCTCCCCCAACAAAGGGGTGAGAAAGGGCACTACAGGGGAACCTGGACATGTTTGAAACACTGTTCTTTTACCACATTGATCCAACTTTTCGTTTCGAGGGGTCCATGACCTGGTTGTTTGTTGAGCATGCACGCCTGCCAACTGCGCTCTTCCGGAACCGTTTCGCGGCTTGCTTGCTAGGAGGCACATCATGGAACGGGGGCGTATGCAACAAGAGGCTTGCGGCTTGGATGGCCTCTTCGACAACCCAAAAGGAAGCCCCCAAAGCCCCAGAGACAGAGAGAGAGAGAGAGAGACCCAATACAACCAGCAACCAGCCATAGGAACGGGTCTCGAAACTCTCACCAGACAGGCGGCCAAAAAACATCAAATCTCCCCAAAGAAAAGGGGCGACGAGCGCGCCTTGCATGTTCCGGGCGGCCAGGACTTCCAAAGCTGCGGACAAAACATTCCTGCGCTCTCAGGGCCGCAGGCTGTACTTGAGCTTCGCTTGGGAAAGGAATGCCACCCCCGAAGCGGAAAAGAAACTTTGCGGGGCTAAGTTCCCGATCCACGGGAGGGTTTTCTGATCAGGCAGGGCGCTGGCATTGAAGTTGCCAACCCCGAGGTTGGCTCATGTAAGGGTATTTGACGTGCTTTTCCAAGTTCCCATCACCTCCATGACATTGGCAAGAAAGCCTGCAAAAGTGGTTTCTCATACTCATTCATCTGCGTCATGTTCATTTCACTATAAGTTGGGCACATATCAGGTTACCTGCTACCACCCGTGAACTCATGCAGCGGGGGGCGAGTTGTAGCAAATGGGAACTATGATGCTTCTAAGCTCCAATACTGAGTCAGAGGCATAGCAAGGCGCCCATGGGAACGTGTGTGGTCCTTAATGGCCTCTTTCACTCACTAATTCCTGGCTTGAATGGCTCCCCTTGCTCTGAATCTGCCCTCATTCGAGCAGGAATACATGGAGTTGGGTTTTCCGTCAATGTACCATTGGAACCTAAACACCTTGGCCGCTAGACTTTGGTCTTGGAAGCAAATATGGCTGGACGGCCAAGCAGACCGCCCTCACTGGGGCCTGGACTCGCAATCAGAAGTCTGTTGCCGTGCCCCATTGAAACCCCTGTTGCACGGTGAGCCCGGTCAACACGGCTGAAATTGGTCGCCCTCCGGCGCCATGCTGCATGTCAGACATCGCACAATGTCTCGGCTAAAAAAACCGAAGTAGGAACAAAAACCCGGGGATCCCCATCCGAGGCACCTCAATCCTTTGTCTTTTGGCCCGAGCTCGGGAGCTCGGGTCCTTCTTGCAGCTGTCAGTTTCCCTGGCTTAAAGGCGAACACACAAAAAGGCACACCAAAACCACACCAATCCTTCCCAACCGCACCGCAGACATGCGGACATGACGCCCAGCCTCTGTGCCATCATGGGCGGCTCGCATTGGGGCGTCATTGGCCGGGGCGACCTACAGCGGGTCTATCCGGACCTGGGAGTTGTTTCCCGTGTTCCTCTCTCTCTCTCTCTCTCTGAGGGAACCTCTTCAAGTGCCATGTCTTGCCTTTGAAAGGGACAACCAGCTGGCACTCAACTGCCCCACTCAGGTTCGTCGTAGACTAGATTCTGACACATTCAGAGAGGAGGTTTGCCTCTCAGCTGTGTAACCTTAGTGACCTTATGTGTTGAGTTCAGCGTCTAATGTGGGCCATTCCCTCTGTTCATCATCTAAACGCACCCTACTAATACATTGTATTTTTGCCCGACCGTTCGAGGCAATACCAGAAATAAGCAATACTGAAGCCAGATCCAAACTCCCAGATGTGCCGCAATATTGGTTGTAAACTCGATTTTAAATTGTAATCCGAACTTCTTTTTTTAATCAACGACAAATCCAGGAAGTGCCTTGAGCGAAACTATTGAAAGTCCTTACTTGACAACGATTCTTCCGGTTTTCCTTGCCCACCAAAGGTGATCTTGGACAAGGACGGACCCGTTGATACAATCAATAGCTGTTGTTCTGCCCATATCGGAACGGGTTACTGCGCTTGCCAGGCCACCTGCAGGCCGGGGGAAGAAAAAGCTCACGTCAGACCCGGCGCCCAAGGCACTTGCTCGGCCTCTGCCCCAAAAATGTGTAAGCTAAAGCTCTGCTTCTTGGGCAGTGCCGTCAAAACGGCCAGGTGTTATATCAAGCTGGTCTTCCAAGTTTAGATTCAAACATTATTGTAGCTAGATCTAGCTAGATTGTGCTGTGGCAAGCGCAGAAACCTTTCAGGTGTGGTGCCCTTGAGTCGTTTTGATCCCAAAGTTATGCACTCGGATTCGCTGCAATTGTCACCTCCCGATAGTCGGCTCTACTTGATCCACTGGATGAATGCAGCATGTGACAAAAAAACAAGCACGATACAGGAATACATCTATGAGCAACATGTCAATGTGTATGTATATGTGTGGGTGCACATCCATTCATGCATGAACTAACCTGTTACGACCACAAAGACACATGCTGCCGTCGGCCCACCCCCCAAATTTTGCAGCCTCCCGCAATTCCGCGCTCGCTTGCGCAGCGAGAACTTGGAGAGAGACCAAGCGTCCCACGCCAGAGTGCTTGAACTGCAAATCTAAGGGCTCAACCGCTTACGCCGCTTCCGTCTTTCACATACATGAAGCCGGGCGCGACGGAATGCATATACATACTGCGGATGGACGAAGGATGCAACAGCCAACCCTATATGCGATCTGACTTTGAACACCCGGCCATGTCTCACTTGCTGAGTGCATTGGCAAAAAAAAAACAAAGTCTACACGATTGATTCACCACTAAAATGGTCCTCCCAAAAGGTTTACCCTTTCTCACACTAACCTGGCACCTGTGGGAGGGTATCTGGAAGATCAGTTTCCTCTTGGAGGGACCCCCTTGATAAGAGAGAGGTAAAAGTCCATGACCTCAAGGAGTCAGATGTGTTCCGGCATGTTGCATCCACCTAGCAGTACGTGGTTGAGCCCCTAGAGCAAGCCACTCAGTCCAGGCCATCTGAGGCCACATGGCTTGGGCATGGGCCATTCCTCCCGGCAGGCTCGCCCAAAAATAACCAGAAAGCTACGAAGTCATCTGGTCGTTGCTCATTCCCACCCTTTGTTTTACGTGGAACCTGACGTTCGGGAAATGGCCCCTTTAAAAGGAAAATGGTCCAAACCAGGAACCTGACAGAAGAAGGTTGTACGTTAATTGGTGGGAGGGTACTTCAAATGGGCTCAGGAAGAATGCTCAAAACATATCAAATACTTCAAACGACCCTTTGATAGTTTCCAGGATCGGAGCCGCTGCAAGATTTGAAGGTGACAAATGGGAGCCTCAATCACGAAAACCCAAGTAGTCCTGTTGAAACGCTCAAGCAACAGTTGCTATCATGGCTGAGCCTATTCAATTGGTGATTCTTGCCAAGTCGACCTCTCAATTCGACTAAACGGGAATCACTAAGCATGACGTGATGTTTACCATGTCCAGGTGGGCCTTGTGTGAGCCTTTTGGAAGATGAATGAGTTGCTGGTTTCGGTACTGGATTTGCCCACAGATCCCTGTTGATGCTAACGACCTGCCATTCTTTCACACTGCATTCTCTTCCAAAGACGGTAAGTTGCAACTGGTAAAGCGTGAACTGACACTTCCATCAACCATGTAATGTTCTGTGGCTGGGCGCTGCCCTTTGACGGAGCAATCAAGTCCTCAACCATGTTAATTTGAGAGGGAAATCTACCCCGTGCCTCTCAGCATACAATAAGCTCACGTTGGCGGCACTCGGCACGCTTGTCCTGGAAATGTGAGGGCGTGTCTTGGACTCAGTTGGCACTGAAAACAATCTCATTTTGGCACTGAAAAAGAGGAGGCAAGCCTTCGACTATGGCAAATTGCCACCCTTTCTATGTGGCTTAGCATGGGGAACCGACCAATCAGTTGATCAAGCTTCCCGCCAAGAGAAAGTGCCTGGCCAAGCAATGCCTGGCCATGTCACACACAACAAGCAAACAACGGGAATTGACACCTCGGCATACAGGCCCCATGCAGGCTAACCTCCATTTTGCTTGCCCGGCGCGGCTGGTGCAAACATGGTAGACGTAGCGCAATTGCACACGCACACGCCAACGCCAGGCACTCCAGCCACCACCCGCACACCCCACAACCACCCGCACACCCCACACATAAACACACAAGCAAGCAAGCAAGCAAGCAAGCAAGCAAGCAAGCAAGCAAGCAAACAAGCAAGCAAGCAAAGCAAAGCAAAGCAAAGCAAAGCAAAGCAAAGCAAAGCAAAGCAAAGCAAAGCAAAGCAAAGCAAGCAAAGCAAGCAAAGAAAGCAAAGAAAGCAAAGAAAGCAAAGAAAGCAAAGAAAGCAAAGAAAACAAAGAAAGCAAAGAAAGCAAAGCAAAGCAAAGCAAGCAAAGCAGGCAAGGCAAGGCAAGGCAAGGCAAGGCAAGGCAATGCAAGCCAGCAATCAAGCAAAGCACAACCAACCAGGACACACAAACACACCTACTCACACGCAAACACACAAACAGAAAGGCACACAAGCACGCAAACAAAACAAGCACACAAGCACACAAGCACACAAGCACACAAGCCCACAAACACACAGACACAAACAAGCACAGACACAGACACAGACACAGACGCAGACACAGACACACACACACACAGACACAGACATACAGACACAGACACACCCACACACACCCACACACACACACGCACACACACACACAGACAGACACACCGACACACAGACACACAGACACACAAGGCAAAGACACACACACACACAAACACACAGCCACACACACACAGACACACACAGACACAGACACACACACACACGGACACAGACACAGACATACAGACACAGACACACCCACACACACCCACACACACACACGCACACACACACACACACACACAGACATCACACGCACAAAAGCAACAGACGCACACAAACACACGACACGCGCACATTCTGTTACAAACGCAGAGTGGTCGGAGAAGCCACCCAAGGAGCCCGCGGCGCAGAAGGAGGTGGAGGCCGCCGGCGCGAGCCGAGCCCGAACTGGACACAAAGCACACAAGCGCACACGCAAGAAACACACAGGAACCCAAACACACAAACAAAATTCAAACATATGCGTGCACAAACATGCAAACACACAAACGTACACACACAGGCATTGCACACTCACACACGCACACAGACCCACACACGCACGCCTTTGACCCTTTTGGGACCAGCTTGTCACATCAGCAGGAAACCCACACTGTTTCAAAATGAGCAGTGCAAAGGCACCACCCTCTTCCTTTCTGCGAACTCTAAGGTCAGTCAGTTTGTGTGAAAACCCGGCACGTAGTTGTTGCCGCTCCGTCCTGCAAAGCGCCACGCCGTCCGGCTACACAGCGCCACTTCGAGAGCCAACCTGCCAGCGGTCTACTGGATCCGTCAATATGTTTCTTGCCCATGGCCACCCAAGTGCCTACCTAGCCGGCTAGCGAGCTGGCGTTGTGACTTCCGAAGAAGCAACGGACAAGCAAACTATCTAATTGGGAAACTAGCTGAAACAAGCGATCTAACGAGCTAAATGAAGTGCAGAAGACGGCTCTCTAGATAATTAACGCGCGAGCTAGCCAACCGGAAGCACACAACTAACTAGCAAACTAGCTGACTTGCATTCTTTTTGGATCGGGGGGGGGGGTGGTGACAAGGGGCGCCCCGGTGATGACCCAAGTCATCCAGAACCCAGCCCCTATCCCTCCTCGCCTCATCCCAGGAAACGGCTGACCGTGACGATGTCCGGGAACTCTGGCCAGTACTCCACATGGGTTTGATGCACCTGTGGCAACACCAGCTTCTTTCGAATCTTCAAAACCTGAACTAGGGGCTTTTGGGGAGTCTTCAAGATCGGTAAGCTCGCTTGCCCTGAGGGGAGCTTCAATGTAAATGCATAAGCCAATGTCAAGGCTGGAAAAGAGATGACAAGCGGCTCATATCCTAAGCTCCCGTCCCCCACTCATTCCTGTACTTCTCTTTTCTTTGCTACCTCAAGACTGCACGGCCAAACCCGTTGTTGCTATGATAGCATGTGGTAAGACGCGTCAATCGAAAGGAGGTCTTGCAATCGCAATCAGTTGAATATGGTATCCTTGTAGCGGCGAAGCCTGCTAGCGGAAGTTTCGGGAAAAAACTGTTTTGAATCCTTATCTCGTTTCGTTTCATGTTGTCTCTTCTCCTTAGGTTCTTACGTTTATCAAATGTATATGTCTCGTCTTCATTATATTTAGCTTGCTCTTCTGTGTACTTTTGTCTGTCATGTTTATTGTCTCTTTCTCGCTCTCCCTCTCTCTCGCTCTCATTGTCTCCCATCTTTAGCGTTATCTGTCTTTATCGTTGTCTTTCTCTTCTCTTCTTGCCACTCTGTCTGCCAATAAAGACCTCGCCTATCGTTCTGTTTACGGTTGCCTCTCCATGTCTCCATCTCTCTCTACCTCTCCATCTCTCTATCTGCCTACCGCCCCACCTCAATCAATCAATCAAACAAACAAACAATCAACAATCAACCAATCAAGCCCATCAATCAACTAATCATTCAATCAGTCAATCAATCCATCAACCAATCAACCAATCAACCAATCAACCAATAAACCAATAAACCAACCAACCAACCAACCAACCAACCAACCAACCAACCAACCAACCAATCAATCAATCAATCAGTCAGTCAGTCAACCAATGATGCAACGTGCCTATCTGTCTATCTAACTGTCCATCAATGTTTTTTGTTTGCCTTTAAAACATCGAATTTGACAAATATACATATATAATTTGATCTATCTCTCTCTCTCTCTCTCTTGCCTAGCTATCCATCAGTAGTTTTATATCTATCAATCTACATACCTATCCACATGGATACTATCTATCGGGCTATCTATGTGCTGAGTTTAGCAATCTCTCTATCTCGGGCTTAGCGAACATCCTTGCCGTGATGCCCGTGTCCTGTGTTTACTGTCACTTGTCCTATTCGTGTGCCTGGTTCTGAAGTAAGGTCTTTTGTATCAAGCTTTGATGTTGCTTCGCATGTGCGCGTCAGTTTTCAGTCTTTTTAGCGCTTCTGCCAAGGCTTGTGGCCTAACTTACCTAGACTGCTTTCTCTCAATCAAAAAACTAGTATGATGACGTCAGCGCCCTGCTGCGAAATCCTGGAGCCTCTCACGCAAAACGGGCGGCTCTGCGGTGCTTCTGCCCTGTCTAAATCCGTGTGGTGTTTCATGTAGTTGGTCAGTCGCTACTGCGAGACGCGCTTGGCACGACTTCGGCCTGTAGTTTGCTGGTAGCTCCGCGTCGCCTTTCTGGTAAATGGGAACAGCTTCTGCCTCTGCAAGCTGCAATCTGGATGTTTTTAAAGTTTGATTACTCCGACAGGCCCCGCCTTTTTTTGCTTTGTCTCACTTCATGTGTCAATGGGACCGATCTTAATCTGCGGCGTTCGGCCGACAACCGGTCTCAGGTCCTGTTTTGTTGGCGGCTGCCGCGTTCTTTTGGACCAATGGGTATTCTGTTACTGCTTGCGCTTGGCCATCAAGTGGTACCGGCTGCCCTCGTATATTCCTCAATCCGTACAAACCGCAGGTGTGTATTCAGTTTTTCTCTTTTTACGCCTGTCCATTTGACTTTTGGGTCTGTTGTGTCCTCAAGGCATTGAATCTCCACGCTTTTGGTCTGAGGTCTATTTTGTCTTAATTCTCTGTTTATTCCGGTCTGTTCATCGACTTTGCATCTGCTTCGTATTGCCTGTCTTCGCTAGATTAGCTCCCATCCCTCTACCAAGATGCATGTTTTTTACTGTTCGGGTGCAATTTGCGTACGCTTTGTGTCAGGCAATGATTGCCAGCTTCCGCGATGCGCGTGTGAAATGCTTGCAGTTTTATCCTATCCCTTCCAAGCCATTCTCAAACTGCACTGGTCTGCGGACAGCGTTGTTGACATTAGTCAGCGCTCTTTGGTCTGGAGGTCGGTACCTACGTGTTGGGGCCCAATTTTGCTTTGGCTCAAGAAAGTTGACACTGCTTGTCGTGGATAGAGCCGTGGTCTGAGTCAAAGGCAATGTCAGGCCTGTCTTCCCCAGTAACTACAGCGTTTCTCCACCAACGTGACGCTAGTAGGTGGCCGAGTTGCGCAAATCTGTCTGGGGAGTCCTACAAAGGATTTGTCGCCGAAAACTTGCAGGAGCATTGCTTGCTATAGTGTCATGAAGCGCGTGCAAGCGATTTGGTTGCAAAAGCCAATGAGACACTGTCTGTTCTCCAGCATGTCTGCAGACATGTGTTGCAAAAACTCCGTATCATGTCAGACATGTCAGGAAATAAATGTTTGCTATCCGCCTCCACAAGCTTCCTACCTTAGATTCAAGAGTCACCGACTACAAATGTGGGTAAGCATTTAGGTCGCCGCGTCCCTCTTTCTCCCAGCCATTCCCGAATGCAGTTTTCTCTCTCGGCCTCGTGCTGGGGCGTATGCGTTGATACTTGCCAGACCTCTTCCCTTTACTGCAACTTCGATTCCATTAATCGCTCATTAATTGGCGCACAGGCACTAACATGCTGTTGTCTTTTTGCGTTTGCCGCTCGCGCTCTACAATTCAGGGGCGTCGTCTACTCTTTCAGCATATGGGTTTCAGTTTGCGTCTCAACCTAGTTGCTTCGTTCCTGGCACATTTGCTCCTGTAAACGTCATACAGGTTCAGTATGGTCTTGGTCTTTCTCCCTTCCCATAGTGGAGGCGCATTGTTCGAAAGAGGGTTTCCGTTCGATCTGTGCGTTGTTGGACTTTGTTTTAAGTGATTAACAATCGGATCACCCTCATTGAGATCATTGTTAGTCTTTGAGGCTGGCATTGCTTCGTTTCGGGCCTGCTGACTTGCCAAGTGCAACCGCAGCAAGTTGTGGCACTTGTTCAAGGCCTGCCTGGTTTGGATTCTTCCATGTCCTGCGTGCTATGACAAGGAAATGCACCTCAGCGCAATTGCCCCCAGACTGCGGTTGCCCCTCAGCGCTTTGCTTTGCCATGGTTTCTGAGAAAATCGGGTGGGCTACCGCAAAGGGGCCAGGGAATCCAAGGTGTGCCAAGGCACATGTGGTCTGCAAAGTTCATGCACCGAACAACTCCTAGGAATCCGAAGCCGAGAGGGGCTGGCCAAGCGTTCTTGTCCAACTGGCTCCAAACCGCCCAAAAATCGAAATGCTGGGGAGCACATGGGTAAACCAAGGGGCTCAGCTTCGGTTGCTTCACAGCGGCAGCACCAGCTTGCAACAAACCACAAGACACTGCGATACCACTTCGGACCAGATGGGTTTGTCAATCTTTAAACCGGCTGGCTTTCCTTTGAAGCACCTGCAGAGAGGTCCGCCAGAAACGGTCCAGGGAATCATCCAAGCCCAAGCCTCCCGATTGGCGCCTGGGTCTCAAACAGCTTGGCGCCGGGACCCTGGAGCATGAACTCCTTGTAGTCAGGCGCGCCCGGCCAGAGGATGTTGTCCCCGACCACCTCGTCACAACAAATCCAGTATTCTATTGAAGCTGGTCAGCAACTACGGGAAACGAAAAAGGGCTATGGCCGTGAAAACTTGTTTTCATGTACCTGAGAACCATGGCCGCGAGAAATGTGGTCAAACGGCCACCCAAGGAAGTACAAGATAAACGTGGACAACTTTGGTGGAGTAAAGTTGCTGCAAGGCTACTTGTGCTACAAGTGGGGCATATTTCGGGTACGCCCTCTGTTGGCTACTACAAGGCTTCAAGGAAAAACACCCCTAGCTGAAGACTGCCCGCATTGTGAAAACCCCATGTTTGACATGCCGTGAAACGGACCGCAAAACGAATAGTAACGGAGCAAACGTTGAAGAAGAGGGAGGACTTGATGAGGGGAGGGGAGGGGAGGGGAGGGGAGGGGAGGGGAGGGGAGGGGCCCCAAAGCATTGGCAATTCTTACTGTGTTTGGAGGAGCAACTGTTTTGGGGATCTTTTGGCGTCTAAGACTCAACTAATGGTAGGCCAATGGGGCATACAAGGGCTGTAGAGACCTGGAGGGCCTCGACCCCTTGCTGCAGAAGCCCCTTCTTCTGAAAAAAAAGGCTTGCTTGCCGATTGTCCAAATGAGGAAATGCCGAACAAGAACCAACAAAACAAGCCAGCAAACCAGCCAGCAAGCAAGAAAGGCAGCCAGTCAGAAAAGCAAAGCAATGAAAGAAAGACAGTATGCAGGCAGCCAAAACAAATAAGCATACAAAGCAAGCACGCATGCAGCAAAGCAGGAAGGCAAGCAGGAAGGCAAGCAAAGCAAAAGCAAAGCGAGCAAGAAGGCAAGCACAGATGGAAAGCAGCTTGCAAAGCAAGCAAAGAACGCAAAGCAAGCAAGAACAAGAAAAGCAACGAAAGAAACAAAGCAAGCAAGCAAGCAAGCAAGCAAGCAAGCAAGCAAGCAAGCAAGCAAGCAAGCAAGCAAGCAAGCAAGCAAGCAAGCAAGCAAGCAAGCACGCGCTCAAAGCCAGAGAGAGCGCAAGTCCATCTGCTGTCACCCGTGTATGTGTGTATATATATATATATATATGTGTGTGCGTGCGGGTGGGTTCCAGGAAGTCTATTCGCCAGGCCACCACGCAGTCCTTGGCTAAGAGCTTCAGTTCCAGTGCCAGCTTCAGGTCCGACAAGTACAACTTCTTTACCTCGCAGAGGTGCTACTGCTAGGTCCTCCAGATTTGAGAGGTTAGAATAAGTGGGTACCATGTTTTTTCGGTTTTGTCTATTTTAGTAGGGAACCCTCCCACCAAAAAGCTGGTCAAAGGGCACTACTGGGGGACATAGACTGCGCATGGTTGCGAAGTCCATTTTGCACCGTGCAGAAACCCTGGACATTTTTTAGTTTGCCTGTAAATGCCAACAAGCGTTATGGTTCCAACCATGGCTTCCAAGTGGTGCGAAATGGATTTTTGGATTCCACAGTATGGAAGGGACGTGCTCTGCCCAGGGCCGATTTCGTGGGCCGCCGTTTGAGCAGCGACATGGGGCAGGCACATCCGGAGAGGGCTGAGGTTATTCCGGATGAGCGGCATCTATCAACCAGGCATGTGCTACCCGCGCGCAGTCGCTCTACCCAGCCCGACTTCAAACCTGCGGTTGCAAGCCCACCTGTGAAACGTCACATCTGGGCTGGGGCAAGAAGGCTTATGCCCAAGACCGGTGTTCAATGACAAGAGCGATGATGCATGATGCATTGAGCTACACAGTTGATACGGTTGATAGGCATTGCTCACTGAACCAAGGCCACCCAGTGCCACTCAAACAAGAACACAGCTGACGGGCCCAAGCCCTCAAGTGCATCGCAGATACTTCGTGTAGCGGGAACAGCCCATAGTTTCACCCCCCAGAAGGTCCAAATGACCCATTCTAGAACTTGCTTCAAACAATCTAGGCTTCGTGGTTCAACATGTTCTCCTGCACTTGCTGCTTTGGGTTTGCCAGTGGGCTCATGATCCTGAAAGAAAGGTCGCGGGTTGGTTCCGAGGAGTCGGTTTGTTTTGTATGCCTGGTTCTCGGCTGGTCCCGCTCTAAACCGAGATGCGAGATGAGGTCAGCAGTTTGTGCGACTAGGACCCTGGCCTCTCTCGTGCAGCGCCTTCAACAAAGAACAAGGCTTCAAGAGGATGTTTCGCGAGAATTGCGATGCGCTATAGGTTCTAGCAACAAGCGTAACCTTGGCTGAAGCCACACAAAGACTTATGTGTTGTGACGAATCTCGGATTGGACCTGAGAAAGTACACATGCCCATCAAGGCAATATTCCCCAAGGCAACACCATGCAACGTGTAGAAAGTGCGGCAACACGCACATGCTGAAGAAACCAACCAACTGCAAGCAGAAAACAAGCAGCCAAGTTGCGTGGTCGATGAAGAGGAAGTCGATCCTCAGTTGTTGAGTGACCCTGGAAAAAAGGGAACCCTTTTTGGGTAAGACCATTTTTAGTGGGGCAGCCACTAAAAGAAGGAAACAGCGTGCCACTGAACAACTGAGGATCTGCCTGCCTTCCCTGTGCAGCTCCCTTAGGACGTTGCTGGAGAAGTCCTTCTTCCTAGGCTGGAAGAAGGAAACCCCAGCAAAAATATGTAGATATATGATATATATACATATCTATATATATACATATATCTTTTTTGCCTGGTTCGTGGAAAACAAAGGGGACCCCAAACCCCCCCCAAAAAAATAAATAAATAAAAAAAAACGCCAAAAACTAAACGGGGAGCTAATTCTGGGGAAGCTTCATCACGATGCGATCTCTGACCCCGGCCTTCTCGTACAGGCTGCTGGAGACGCTGTGCGCCAGCACGTCGGGGTCTACAGTCATCAGCTCGGCCTTGCCTGGGGCTGACGGGCTGAAGGGCTAACGGGCTGACGCACAGAACGGAGCCTGAAAGAAATGGCGAAAGACGTGCTGGCAAGGAGCGGGGTGCAAAGGAAAGATCTCATTGAAAGACTGCCACCCTGTGCTATGTATAGGAATTGAGTGAACTTTGGCTGAGGACTTTCCTTTCAGAAACTATGTGCGCCCAACAGAAAGCTTCCCTCCCGCGTTCGACAGCACCTCCAGCTCTCAACTGCAAAGAGTAGCGCAAATGGTTGGCATCGACCTGATCCAGTTGAGCAGATCAGAGAAGAGCTGCCAGAATTTGCAGAGAGTTGAAAAACCGGTGCGATAGGTAGGCTATGACCCGGGGTGTTGCAGTGAACCTAAAGATTCGCTTAAAGGAAACCATAGCTTTTTCTTGGGGTCATGCCCTCATTCCGTGCTGGGTCTCTGCCCTCCAAAGTGTGTTGCGTGCTTGCGCGCGTGTCAGTAACGCGGCAGGCAGCAGAGATCTGCATGCTATAGCTTTTTGCTTATCTTGTTGTTCGCAATGCACACTAGGAGAAGACAAATATGCGGCTTGCCCAACGCCCCCCTCTTTTTGCCAAAGGGAAAAACCACTAACAATGAGACACGCGAAACAAGGGTGTTTGCCAGCAACTGGGACATTGCGCGTCCCTGCCCCTAGCGGCCGCAAAGGTTGGATAAAACCATTTTACCCAACCCCATCACTTTTGCCCCGCCCCATCACATGCGTGAATTCATTGCCAAGCGGCTATTTTTCAGCACCCGTGCAAGGCGAAGAGTACCTGAAAGGGGGAACGGCTCCGGTTCAGGTGGATGCCATGCAATTCGGATGAGTTTGTCTACTCAACCCCCAAGTTCCAGCAGTCACTGGATGAACAGGGCTGTCCGTTTTCAGATCCCCTGCTAAACATGACTAAATGGAAAGGCAACCACTAAACCAACCAAAAAGACAAACAAATAGTTCAGGGACCAAAAGACTTGAAAAAAAAAGAAGACACAACAACCAGGGACTTTTAGAAGGCTTTCGGACCCAAGTCAAGTTCCAAGTTTGATTTTCGCCGGCTCCACAAGTTTGATTTTCGCCCGCCGAACATCTGCGCCGAAAACTCCGCAGAGCGCGCCGTAGCCCAGGAAGGTGCCGAACTCCACCACCAGCTTGGGCTCGCTGCGCTTCATGCGCTCCAGCAGGGCGCTGTCCACGATCCTTGGGCCAGTGCCGGGCTAGGTCCTCCAGATTTGAGAGGTGAGAATAAGTTGGTACCCGATTTGTTCTGTTTTGCCTATTTTAGTAGGTACCAACTTTTGTCTACCCTTTTTTCTGTTTTGTCTATTTTAGTAGGGGAACCCTCCCAACCAAGAAAGGTAAAGGGTACCCGTTTTTGTTTTTGTTGTGTTTTTTCCCCCCCTGTAGTCTATTCTAGTATTCGAACCCTCCCAACCAAAAAACAAGTTGGTAAAAGGGCATCACTGGGAGACCTAGTTGGGGTTGTCGGGCCGGCTTGCGGGCGGCCGGCGGCTTGGCGGGTCCATCTTGGTTGAGGAGGGGGGTGGCTTGGGCCAGTGGGCAAACGTGGGAGGTCTTAGGACCTTACCTGTCAGCCACGGTATGGAGCATCAAGCCCAAAGACATTTGCAAAACGAGGCAGTCGAAGCACCTCTTAGGGAGACCTTCGGGGAGGGAGTGGGTATCGGGTTCCGTGTTGTGGCGGCTCCGAGCCTTGGGCGGATTCTTCCCCTTGAGACGGCAAGGGCCGCTACACATTGTACTCAAAGAACAACCAGTAAAGCAGGACAACACCGACTGCACGAGTTTTGGCGTTGGGTCAAGAAAAGTGGCAGGGCCGTGGCAGTAAGCTGATCCTGCGCAACTTAGCCAAGATGGAAATTGCATTGGTTTTGGAGCTCTCTGCATTTCAAATGGCCCCGCACCTGGGCTGTCCTGAGATCCCTGCTAAAGGTGCAACCACCAAACCCACCAAACCGCTCAGGGGACCGTGCCAGTCAAGGCTCCGGCCCTTCACGTCCCCCACATTGATGAGGAACCCGCGATTCCAGCCGAAGTCCTTTGCGCAGCTTGCGGGGCCAAGGTGACAACGACACAACTCGGCCCGGAGAGAAGGCTACTCTGACTCTCGCAATCGCAATCGCAAACTAATGTGGACCCCAGATGAATCTTTAACCCCAGTTTATTTTCATAGGGGGTGATTCTCCCTGGGTGAAATCTGGGAAATCAGACCACTTTTGGAGGAGTAAACGCCCCACCCCCCTATTTGGGGGTTAGATTGATATGGGGTCAGGATGTGGCAAATATATCACAATCTTTTTGAGGCCTTTCGTCTTCACTGTCGTGTCCCAAATGAGCATGCTCTTGATTCTAGCCAACCGGTGGATCCAGAAAATGGAGACACCTATGGGCTTGTAATGCTTCGACGGCAAAGGCAAGCCACTGTCCCCTGCTCAGCTGTCAGCGGTAACTAGGATGGGTGCTGGCAAGAAAAGAGCTTTGTCAAAAAGCCCTCCGCACTATAGCCAATCTTCGCCCGAATTGGGTTTGCCGTTGCCGTAAGTGTGAATATATGGCATGGCCAAGAGAGGAATGGTAAAGAGATGTTCTTCATGAAAAGCCCATAAAACCGTTAATCCAAACACGCGTAATTCTTCGATTTCAAGGCTGTTATTCACAACTCCTCATCTCCGATCTCTACATCGGAAGCTATTCTAAACTAAGGGGACTAGAGTGTGATGAAATAATAAATTCCCAAAGGAATGAATGATAAGAACATAGACACAAGGAATAAAACACATAAATCAAAAGCTAAAAATGATAAGCACATGGACATGTAAGGACGCAATATGCTTCCGTGAGCATCGGATATATATATATATGGTACATGTATAGCGTTCCTTTCCTTTTCTTGTGTTTACAAGTGTTTGATCAACATCTACACATTTACGCATGCGACCTTTTCTGCACTGTGTGCATGCAAGCCGCCCTGCAGAACATGACCTAACAACCACGAAAACACCGAAGGCGACACCCTCATGAGCAAAGGCGCGTCCACCAGGTCAATGGCCTTGTCAAGCCTGCAGTGGAAAATCCATCCAGTCAGCAGTTCCACCCGGTCAGGGCTCCTTATATAACTAGGTCCTCCAGTAGAGAGGTTAGAATAAGGGTACCCTTTTTTCTGAAGTCTATTTTAGGTAGGGGAACCCACCCCTCAAAAAGGGTAAAAGGGCACCACTGGGGAACCTAGATAATGTTTGACCAAAATGGATCTAGGAAAGCCACATAGCTGTAGCTTGTGGCTGCTGTTTCTTGGTCATGCAATCAACCGCGCGTGGGGTCTCACTGAAAACCCACCATCAAGGCAACTTCCCACGAAGGAATAGGGGATTTGCAAGCTTTTCTTGGCTGCACCACTGGATTTGATTGAGCCACATTCGGTCAAACCGATCTCCGAACCAATACATCACAAAATCACCCCTTTCAACCAAGGACTCGTCCAAACCAGCAGTGAAACTGCAATGTGCCAAATGCATCTTTAATTTTTGCTCATGGGGCTCTTCTTCTTCTTCTTTTCCGCAATTTCGGCCCAAGTAAGTTTCTGATCAATGGGAATGAGCTTTGACCACCCGAACGGCATTGCTTGTGGACCTCTGACGGAATGGTTGAATATGGAATGTGACCCAGCCCCTGGTTGCAACCAAGTACCTTGCAGGTGGAAAACCACTAGCCCTCCAAGGAAGATTGAATTCACTTCGGGGTCATGGTCCCTGGGCCACCGTTCACGTTCCACACCCACAAAATAAATCATTCTAGGCTTTCCAGTAGAGAGGTTAGAACAGGGGTTACCGGATTTTTTCTGTAGTCTATTTTAGTAGGGGAACCCAAAACCAACCAAAAGGGGTGGCGAACACCATGAAAACAGCAAGCCTCCGGCCACTCAACTCGCACGGCCTTGGACTGCCCCACGCCTTAAACCTGACCCGAAAGGCCTGAACCCCGAAACAAAACCTGACATCAACCTCTAAGCCCTAGACCGTTTTTAGAAAACCCATGCTAAACCTCGCACCCTGAGCCTAAACCTTAACCTGAACCTAACACCTAAACTTAAACCTCACAATCAACCTGAACCACCCCCTCCCATGCTGGTGGGCACGCCATGTGCGTTGCGGGCAAACAACATTAGGCTCGACCAGGACTTGGAAAACAAGTCCAAAAAAGAAAGCGGTCGATTTATCTCGACCAACTTGCGCAGAGAACATGTATCACTTGGAACCAGGTTCTGAATCAAGTCCTCGAGGGATTGTAGCTTTCATGGTCCCTGATCAAAAGCCCATCCGATTCCCAGAAGGGGAGCGAGCTAGTTTCGAAGCAAAAGCGAACCATCCCATTGCCTACCTACAGTCTCCATGACCCTTTAAAAATGGGTCAATGACCCCATTATTTGGGGTAATGACCAACCATTTGTCAAGGGTCAGAAGGAGACTCCAGGTACCCAGTTTTGCCCAAGAAACGTAGCAAACACCACCGCTGGAGGGAAGAATCTTGATGCATGACTCCTTTGCATTTCAGCCACTCGGATCCGTCTGAGCCCGGCCTGAGCTCCTCAGACACGTTTTCTATGCCGTCGATCACATAGTCCAGGGCTGCTAGCTGCGGGTGGACCTGGGTCCTTAGGTCTAGGCTGGAATTAGGACCCCAGCAAAAAATATATCTGTTTTGCCTGGTTAGTGGAAAACAAAGCAAACCCAAACAAGCAAAAAAGCAAAAAGGGGAGCTAATTCTGGGGAAGAGGTGAAACCCTCTCAGGTAACACCTGGGATCAAAACAAAAAGTTTGCCCATTCCAGAGGCGATGCTTCACTTCCGGGGGGGGGACAACCCCGGTTAAGTAATCCATCAGGTTGACTAATCTGGCTCCAATTTGAACTTCACTGCTTTACTTTTTTCTGAAGGCGTCGACGACAGGCCGAAGACGATATAGGGACCAATCTTCGCCAGGTTCACCGCGATCTCCACCTTACATGCCCGATCGTGGAAGGAACTTGCCCCGTTCGTCGGTTCCACCTCAAGGGGTAACTCACGACCAAAATGCTGGCTCACGCTTTGGCGGTGTTTGATTCAAGCCCAGCAAGAGAGCTTATTGGCTGACTTCAAACAATAACCACAAGCACACACAGGCACACAGGCACACAGGCAGTCACCAAAACAATTCCAACAAAAGACAAGCAACGACAAACACACACCAAACAATCAGAGGCAAGCCTGCGCTCTCCTCACATCCCCTGCTGGAAGTTTAACTGTGCACGTTCAAAATGGACACCCAACCACTCTAACAACTAAAAATGTCTGAACAAGCTAAGGGACCGGATAGCTGGGAACCAAGAAACACAAAAGCAGACAGCCGAGACTGCAGCCGTGTGCCGCTTGGCCACTGGCCGCCCGAGCGTATGGCCCAAGATCCCCTTTGGATCTTGCAAAACCACGGCCAGGAGGGCTGCCGGCACGGCCAGGAAGGCTGTGCAGAGCGACAGCCGCATCCTTGCCGGAGCCTCAGCTTGCCCTTCCTATGGGGTGGAGTTCGGTGGTTTGGAGGGTCAGGGATCTCCGCAAGATCCAGTTGAAATCCCCAGACCAATTCGGGGCTACCTGAAAGGCGCCATTTGTTGTCTACAAAGGTCGTATAGGACGTATCGAAAGCTTTCGGTCAGTGTTTTCGTTTGATTCCAAAGCTAAACCTCAGGGGGTCTGAAAAAATAAATTTGACACCACTCAAGCCTGGGTGTTGGGTGTTGAATAGGGGGTCTAGAATACAAGAAAAAACGCAAAACATCATGAAACCATCCATCCACCCCCTTCTTACGGTTCCTTTGGAGTGCAACACAGAAATAGCACGTACGCATTAAAACCCGGCAACTCATTGGAAATCAAAGGTGGAACAAACCTTCTCGGAAATCGATCCACACAAAAGGTCGAAAGCCTGGCTTTGCACAAGTGAAAACTGCCCCACTGTCCGCAGTGAAGAGGAAGCAAGTTGTTCCTTGTATCTGTTGTAGTTCCAGTGTTGACACTGCTGCCCCAATACCACCTCATGCCACAGGCAACATTGGTGATGTACGTCAATTGTGAATTTGTGAAAACGGTATACACAGGGCTCGCAGTGGACACTCGAAAGTAATTTATCCTCCGCATCCTTGCGAAATCTTACGACGAGGGTTCAGCGTTCCACGGTTCACTTTCTGCAGGGGAAAAACGGGACCTCAACATAAATAACTTCCAGCAACCTAAAACTTGGAGCTCGTCTTGGCGCAGCTGCTGACTCGTGAACATCGAAACAACTACGGATTAAGGATTATGTGGATTGCGGATTCTGATTTTGTTTCCGGGATTTCAATCAGGCTAGTTATTTGGTGTTTGATGCGCAACCGGGTTCCGCTTTTGATGAGTGATGACTGCATGCCCATCTAGGTGTATGAATACTGCGGTAACAACAACTTGTTCTTAGCAGCTGCTGCTTCCATCCTTCCCTTGGGCTAGTCATTTCCCACCGGATTGGTCAAGAACATTTCTCCGACAAGGGTTGGGAACCTATAGGGCAGAACCACCTCGGCCCTGACTTGACTCCACTTGGTGCCTGACAGCAGGGTTCAGTTTTCTTCTCTTGGCAGTGAGCCTGAGCAGTTGGCGCTGTACAATTCGTTGTTGGGTTGTGGGTGCTCCCTTTTGTTGATTTTACAGTTAAGGTTACAGTCGCTCTGTGGCAGTATTTGTTTGGTTTCACTGAGACCTTGTTGCAAACTGTGGGTCACAGCCTTATGCTGCAGTATCTGAAATCCGTGCAACCTGTAACCTTTAATCTACGAACCGCACACTCTAATCCGCAAAGCCTTGAACAAGATAGAACTAGGTCCTGCAGTAGAGAGGTTGGCTTAAGGGTGCCCCTTTTTTCTGTAGTCTATTTTAGTTGGGGAACCCTCCCTCAAAAAAAGTGGAAAAGGGCACTAGTGGAGGACCTAGTAGAATCTAAACAGGACGTCAGGGAAAGGCATCAACAAGCCACGCTGCCGTCCGCCCATCCATCCCTGCAGCCAGGTGCCTCAAGAACCCAAGACTCAAAACTCCAAAACTAGGGCTTCTAGGAGCCGAAACAGCTTGACGGACGGGCAGGGCCTTAGCGCAAAGTCCATGCAGAGGGAAAATTATGTTTGGTCGTTTCATTGATGAGGCCCTGGAGCGTCAAAAGTTGCGATTGGGCAGCTCGCCATGGGAAGTGAAAGCAACAGTTTTCAGAGGTCCCCCTGCCTCCCATTCTTGAGACACTGTCTCTTGCAAGCCATGGTGCTTGCTTGCGGCAGCTCGCACTCATGTTGTATGTTGACAGTCTGCGATTCAAACGTCCGGATTCAAGAACGCTAAGCAAAATCAGTGGCTACCACTGTTGCATTGCGTGCTTAGTTGCATGCAGTTGCCCTAGCCAAGTGCCACCCAGTTGCAACAAAGTCCAGCTTAAGACCACTGGCAAAAAAAGGTAGTGATACAGATTCCCTCAAAAAAAACACGAGAGGGGAAACAAACCATATTCTCAAGCCGTCTTAAGCAAATGGAAAAGCCGCCAAGCACCAGCACCACTGCACCAGACCCCATCTCTGGCGCCCCGGCGGCTCATTGGTCTGGCCGGAGCCTGCGAGCCACGACAGTCGCCGTTAAAGGGCACAACCCTAAAGAGAAAGGTGGACCCAATTTGGATGACAATCCTTAGGCAAACAATGGTGGTCATATGAGCCCCCATTGTAATGAACCACTGGCTGCTGGCTGGCGGATGATTTGTCATGGAAATGAGGTGAGGTTGGAATAAGGGTACCAACTTTTTTTTCTGTAGTCTATTTTAATAGGAGAACCCTCCCCCCGAAAAAAGGGGTGAGAAAGGGCACTACTGGGGGACCTACACAACTCGAATCCTTCTCCACTCAATGTAGCCATCCGTAAGGATGGAGCTCACTTCCGGGTCAGTCTCCGGGCCACCCCCAAATCCGCGTTCTCGACTTGCTGGTGTTTTTTCTCGTTTTTTTCTCGGGGAAGGAGACATGGGAAAGGACCCTCAGAGGAAAACCTGGGGGTTGGTTTGGATTGAAACCAGGAATCCCCAGGACTTAGATCAACTCCAACCAACCAATCCTACCATCCAACCATTGGAATTCCAACCGGTGGTGGGTTTATTTTTCGGGGACTGAAGTCATTCCCTCCCCGACTGAGGATTAGCTAGATTCCTGGTGCCCTCCACACACAAGCAAACATTTCCCAGAAGCATCCTCGGGATGCTGGCTAGGGGGCGTGTGCAACATGTAGGGCGCTAAGCTTTCACCAAGCAACGCTGAGAAAGAGGCACCATAGCATGAAGAGGTTGAAGCAGGCCAACCAGCAAACAGCAGTGAGAGGATGAGTTCGGGGTTCAGCCCAGTGCCGTTTGGCATACATTGGCATGCTACTTGACAAGGTGTGCACGTGACGCTCGCACAAGAGGAAGAACTTGACGAAAGCAAAACGTACTGAAACATGACTTTCCTTGAGACCTGTCTTGCTATGGGAGTCACATCGACAGAAGTTTGCACATTTCCTTCAAACCGTGTTCTGCACTGCATTGGCGGCAACCAACCGGCGAACATTCAGCGCAGCTATCCCCAAGGGGCTTCGATACATCATGGCCACTGTGCTGTGGGAATCCTTCCTGCGACAAGGTCTGTCTCACCTTACCGCACGTTCTTTTGCACGTGTCCCTCCATTTGGGGGACACCAATCGTCCCAGGGCTGGTTGCAGACTGGCGCCGGAGGTTCGGAATCCGTAGCTAAGCCTGCTTCTTCAAGGAAGGAGGAGCCACCAGCAAGTCCCAAAAGACATGGTGTGCATCCTAGTGGCCCCCATCAACCCACAAAGCTAAACACATTCACGAACCTCCCCTGGGCCACTGGGTTGGTCCCTTTCCCGGAACGATCTGGTCCCTGTGCCTTTCCTGTGACAGCTTCGGGGCTTTGCGTCAATTTCAACGCCTCACCACCTTAGAGGAATGGTTAAAGCCGCACCTAAAGAAAAAAGGCATGTTTCTAGCACATCTACACACACACACATATATAAATACACATATATATATATATATATACGCATATTTATACTTATGTACTACAAGTAGTGGTGATGGATGGATCTGCGTTTTTCCGTTGCTGCACGGTCACAAGCCCACAGCAGCAAACCACTCGGTGCCAAGCATGCAGAATCAGGCGAACAGGCAGCGGCAATGTGAGGTCTCTGAGAGAGGCTTGGCCAGGTTTGCGGTACAGCGGATTTGTCGGTCTGTGAGCACAGGTGAAAGAGAAGAGCCATAAAGACTGCCTGTACCAGGTGAGTCGCAATCAAAACCTGGTACAAAAATGGTGAACCCAGAACCATGTACAAGATTAGGAAGGCGGATATCCGCAGCTATTTCTGGTTGGGATCGTCCCTTACTAACCTTCATCTATCCAGGTTTTGATTGTGGCTCAGGTGAAATCGCTGGAAAGAAGCTGCCCTCGGTTTTGACAAATCGCTAGTCCATGGAAGGCCACCTTTGTTTTTTTTCGATGGCTTCAGAAAATGAAGAGAGAACTGCGGTAAGACAAACAGGAGCCCATTGAAGCCTTGTTTGGAACAGGATGCTGCCAGGGAAACAAAGAAAAGCCTTGTCAGGATGATGCGCACAGAATGTCAGAGCCTTTCCCGGCTCCCGTTCACGTACAAACTCAAAGAAATAATATCATGCACAAACATCGTCTAGGTCCTCCAGTAGAGCGGTTAGAATAAGTTGGTACTCTTTTTTCTGTAGTCTTTTTTGGTAGGGGAACCCTCCCAACCAAAAAAGGGGTGAGAAAGGGCACTACTGGGGGACCTAGTCGTTTGTGGCTTCACCATTGGACACCGGCAGAGTCCGCTTGGCCCGACAAAACGCGTACGCGACGCGTCGGCGCGTCGATGCTTCGCCTGCGGCGAGCATGCTCATGATGTGCTGCTGGGTCTGGAGCCTCGGATTTGTCCGACTCGCTAGGACCAATGAGTGGCACAAATCATCTGGGCAGTCTGTTTCAGATCCTGCGCTAAAAGTGACTAACTGTTTGTGAGTTGAATGGCTTCCCACTAAACCCTGGAAAAAAGAGTTAAAACGCTAAGGAACCGGATAGCTGGGAACCACCAAGAAATGGTTGCATCATTGCTCCCTTTTGAGATCGAGAGTCAATCTGATCTTTGACACACCACGGTCCAAGGGTATAGTAGCTTTCACGTTTGAAGACGGGAAGGTTATAAACCAAGTCATTCTCCCGTAAATCATCCGCCTTGCTCGCAGGGTGGGTTGTTTCACACCGACTTTCTAACACAACAACGCTGACGCTGACAGTACCACGTTAGCCTCACCTGTCTGACTTGTACAGGCGGCAAGGCTTGTTCGGACCTCTCCCATGACACCCGCAAACAAGCAAGTTGAGCTGGGTACACTCCTTCAGACTATGGAAGCTCCCACAAGGCCACTCCAAACAACTAGGTCCTCCAGTAGAGAGGTTCGAATAAGGGTACCATTTTTTCTTTTTGTCCTCCCAACCAAAAAAGGGGAGAGAAGGGCAGCACTGGGTGACCTACAAGACAAAGATAACCCGCTGATTTAGAGTGCACATGCGATTCACAACTCCTTCACAAGCCTTGGTTGGTATCATAAGCAAGGGGCAAGCTCTGCAACATGACACGTCAAGCTTCCAACGCTGACAGTGTTGCGCAACCCACTGCCAAGCAAAACGATACCAAGGTTGATAAAGCACCCAGAAGGCCAAGCAACCATTTGACGACAAACAAGGTTCAGAGAGACGAAGCAGATTCAAGCCTCGAGCCTCTCGCATACCGAGAGGGGGTATGCAAAGAATCGAAACCCTGACTCGCACAGTTTCAAAGGGATGCTGAGGCAAGCTCACTTGAAGAAGGGCGGCCCTTTCAGAAAACACCCAATCCAGCCCTGCAAGCCGCACGACTTTCACACAAATGCAGTTACTTGCCCGGCAAAGCTGAGCTCGAACTCATGAAGTTCCATTGGTCACTCAAGCCCTGATCATGACCTTTTGAGAGCTTGGCAGGGTTACTTCAAGCAGATCGCCGCAGAATGGGCAAACTTTTTGTTTTAATCCCAGGTGGTACCTGAGGGGGTTTCACCTCTTCCCCAGAATTAGCTCCCCTTTTTGCTTTTTTGCTTGTTTGGGTTCCCATGTTGCACCACGCCAGTCAGGCCCTTTCTGAGTCTGCCGCCCTTTCTCCCGCCATCTCCCGCCACTTTTTGTCCCACAAAGCGCGCGCGTATCTCGTGACTCTGAGTTGTTCTGCTGCGTCTGGATTGCAGCGCACCGCACCTGGCGGCCTGACGCGCTCGCCAGCAACAAAATAGCTGCCGGCTTCAACGAGGAAGCGCGGGGAAAATACTTCCTTCGGTTGCCCCAAAAGAGTTCCAAGTCCTTGGAGACAAATAAGGTCCGAAGTCAACACTGTTCACCCTTCGCCCGACCACTTTTCCCTGGATGTAAGAAAGAAAATCGTGGCCCAAACGCGGGCGAACACATCTTGGGCGGCCCCTCTGTTTCGGAAATCAGTTGGTCCTGGAGTGGCCTAAGCCTCTAATTGGGCCATGACCGACCGGGATCTTGGTAACACTGCGGCTGGACGAAATTCTGCACCACCTAAGAAACCCTGCGATAATGATTGCCCTGTAAATACCAACAAACAATGCTTTCCCGTGGTTTCAAAGTGCTGCGAAATGGATTTCGTTTATCCACAGTAAGGCGAATAGCTTGGCACAGTCCGACATATGTTGGGAAGGGTGGTGTGACATGGGCGTGAGGGCACGACTGTAGGGCGGGTACCTGCCAGATTCTGCACCAGGGGTTTACTTCGGAGGGCCGGGAACGGCTGAAAATTGGACTCTGTGGCACTTGCCGCAAAACTTGGTTGATGGTGTAAGGGTAGCAAAAATTCTCAAAATTTAGCAGTTAAGTGGTTGAATTCCAACCACTAAACCACAATAAGCAAAAATGTTTCCAATGTTTCCTAACAACAACGATGAAAAGCTCAAAATTGTGGATATGTCGCACTCCCATGGCCCCCCAAAACAGACAAACAAAAACCGGGAGCTCATATTTGGCGCCTGGCCAGGGTGTGATCCGTCCCAAGGGGATTCCTTCCAGAAAACGAAGTGAGAAACTTGGGGCAATTTAGCGCGGTTAGGGAACCTTGAAGGCTCAATCCGCGGCTAAAGCACCTGGCAAGAAGCCTCTGCAGCCGGTCCAGTGCCCCCTGGCAGGCCTGCTTAAGGCCTTTGGCAGAGACAAGACCAAACAAAACTGCACATGAGAGCTTCACCTACGGCAACGTGAATGTGAAGCCACACTACATCCAAAAGGTTCAAGGCTACGAAATTTGTATGGGCAACTAAGCTGAGTTGAGCAGGTGCATTGAAGACTCTTTGCTTCGGAAACGTTCCATTGCAACAAAACCTCAATGCCTTCTTCACGCAAATTGTGGGCGGCAAACTGTCGGCGTCATGCTGGAACGGAGCTCTCATGACACGAGGCTTGGGAGTGGAGTCGCTGCAAACCCTGTAACGTGACTGCTGATTCTACCCCTGCGTTCTGATGAACATGCTGATATCAATTAGGCAGCCCTCGCGGATAAAACCGGCTGCTTAAGGGAAACAAAAAAAAACTGGTTGGCCACGGACATGCAGAAGGTGCAACGCTCTTTCGCTCTTCGGATCACAGACGCGCCGCGTGTTGCGGCCATCATCCATGTTCTCTGCTCGTGAAGGTCCACACAACGTACTTGTGCTGCAAGGACTCAGCGAGTCGCAAAGGCGTAAGACCTGCCCGGGCGCGAGTGATCCACAAGCTAGAAATGAGGGAAGCCTCGTTGGACCAGGTTGAAGAAATGGTGATAAGTATCTGCTGTGCAAACCAGTCAATACCAAAGCAATTCTAAACAAGCAATTTTCCGCCGACCCCAACCCAACTCCAATCGTACTCGAGGACACCTTAAAACCAAAAAAATATGGAACCAGATTCTAAATCGATACTAGACCAATATTAAGCCAATTCGAATCCAACCCAAAACGACATGGCCTTCTTCCGTGTATGTTGCTTACTCAGAAACTGCAACTTTGAACGATTTTGGACGACTGTAGCCGAACTCCTCGGTACCCCAAGAAAGATCGCCGGTATGGGGCCTGAGCTTTTGAAACCAATGAAACAATAGGAGCTGCCCATGCAGATGTCTAGGTCCTCCAGTAGAGAGGTTAGACTAAGGGTACCCGATTTTTTTGCAGTAGTCTATTTTAGTAGGGGAACCCTCCCCCAAAAAAAGGTAAAAGGGCACTACTGGGGGACCCAGCCATAACCACTGAACAACTGCGCCTTGGTTGTCTGCAACTTGTCTGGCACCAGCGTCCAGCAAACAGCTCACGATCCTCTCGTGGCCCTCTTTGGCCGCGTAGTGCAGGGGCGTGCGGCCCTCCTTGTCCTCCTTGTCCTTGTCCGCGCCCGCGTCCAGCAGCCGACGGATGATCCGCTCATGGCCCTCCTGAGGGGTGTCTCGAGGTTGAAATGTTTTTGTCCGTGATGGACGGAAACCGAAGGATGCGAAACCGGCAAGTATGGGTGTGGCTCAACATTAAACGGGAGGGGTCACCCAGGTGTTGGTCCATGTCTCCACTTACCAGGGTTCCAGTATGGTACCGGTTTTTGAGCCACAGCCATATGAAGCAAGGGAAGTCGACCCAAGTTTTGACACTCGGATGTTGGTCTCTTCAAGGTCGGATCTGTGTCCTTCGCAGCATGGTGCAAAGGAGTGCGTCCTTCGTTGTCGGCCTTGTCCTGATTCGTGCCAGCATCCAACAGGCAGCGGACGATTCCTGACTTGCCCAGTGACCATTCGCACCCTTCTTTGGGGTTTGTTTAAACGGGAAACGCAGCCCAATGAAGGAGAAAGGGTGCGCTGGACAACTGGGCTTCGCTCATGCCAGTGCCCCTCTGCAGCAGCATGGTGTAAGGGCGTGCGACCTTCGTTGTCCGCCTTGTCCTTGTCAGCACCCGCATCCAGAAAGCAGCGCACCATGATGTAATGCCACTCTTTAGCGGCATGGTGCAAGGGTGTGCTCCCAGTGTTGTCCGCCTTATCTTTGTCCAAGCCAGCAGCCAGCAACTGACGCACCACCTCCGGATGGCCTTCGCGATGTCCGTGCTTGGCAGCATGGTGCAGGGGCGTTCGGCCCATGTGGTCCACCTTGCCCCGGTCAGCGCCAGCTGCCAGCAAACAACGCACCACAGAGCACTCGCCCATCTTGGCAGCGTAATGTAGCGGAGTGCGGCCTTCAGGGTGGGGCCATTCCGTACACATCCAGTTCACGCAAGTTTAAACAAAGGCTAAACACTATTTAAACACTACAGCCTGCCTTCGCTGTCAGCTCTGTCCCTATCAGCGCCGGCTGCTAGCAAGAAGCGGACCACGTCTTCGTGCCCGTCTTGGGCGGCATGATGCAGAGGCGTCTGACCATAAGTCCCCGTGCTCGCGTCCTTGCCAGCCCCAGCCTCCAACAAGCAACGGACCACCTCCAAGTGGCCTCCGGAAGCAGCCACACACAGGGGTATGTGACCTTCAAGGGTCGGACACGTTGCTTCAGCAAGCGACTCCAGCAAGCAAAGCACCACATCCAAATGACCTCCAGCGGCAGCTTCGCAGAGTGGCCTGGCTTGACTCAGGCCTTCGCCATTTGGATTCATGGGCACATCAAGCAGCCTCACCGTCTGCTCCACGTCCCCCGCCCTGGCTGCCTGCGCCAGCTCCGATGCGTCCCCGACATAGGGTCGCACGACCACCGCCAGGGGCTCAGCATCGTTCCTGAGCCAGCCAGCCGTCCACCCTGTGGATGGACGAAAAATCCTGTTCCACTTTGAAACCATGGGAAGTCATCGTTTGGGAACCGTATCATTCAGGGTTTCTTCGGTGGTGCGAATTGGATTTCGTCCATGCACACTATGTTTGACTGGCCAGTGGAAGCGCACAGCGGGAAAGTTCACAATTCCCAGAAGCTAGCACGGCCCTCTCCGCAAACCGTCAACATCGGGAAACACAATGAAAGACCTGGTGCTGAATGAAGACTTCTTGACCCTATGCTGATTGCTTGTTGTGATGCAGCCAGCGCGAAACACAAAAATAGCAGAACAAGCCTTCACCTAGCACCTGCAAACTAGGTCCTCCAGTAGAGACGTTAGAATAAGGGCACCCTATTTTTTCTGCAGTCTATTTTAGAAGGGAAGCCTCCCAACTAAAAAAAGGGGTGAGAAAGGGCACCTAGCTGGGGGACCTAGAAACCATCCCATGTGCAAAAAGCATCCCATATTTTCCATTTGATTTTGAAAACGACCCCTGGAAAAAAGAAAAAAAAACAAAACCAAAAAAAACATCCAGTAGTGATAGATTCCCTTTCAAACCAACAGGGGAAAATAAAACATATTCATTTCAGCAAATGGATGCGCAAGAACGCTCCCTGGCCACTGCCCTGCCGATTGCCGCGCGAGGTTCCAGGGGCTCCGCCCGTCCAAGGCTTGCTCCTTGCCCGCCAGCGCCAAGCGCCGGAAGTTCACCGCAGGGCGCGACGTTTTTGCCAAATGGTGCCGCAGCGCGTCGAAGAAGCCTGAGCGAAGGGTTTAGGGGTTTGGGGGGTTAGGGGTTCAGGGCCAAGAACTGCCACAGTTGTCCATGTAGTGATGATCAAATGAAGTATGCCTGCCATGCATGGCTGAATCTTTGAGACGAGCATATATATATATATATATGACTACTGGCAGGATCAGAAGGGGAACGTCAAGGCCTTTGATTGGACAGTTTAGCTGGGCTGCCTGTTTTCTGATCCCTGGCGAAAAGTGACGAACTTGTGGGTTAAAATCGAAAACCCAACAACTAAACCAACTGAAAGCCTCAGAAGCTAAGGTTGAATTAGAAAACTGGGCTGTGCTCAGATCCCCTGCCAAAAGTGACTACGTTTTGGCGGGGTCAATTCAGAAACCCTACCACTAAGCCCTAAAAGCCTGACAATCTAAGGGCATGGCTGGGAGCCACCAAGTGAATTACCCTCTTTTTCGACTTGGAAGGACGGCCCTTCATAGACGATGGCAGCCTTCAAAACAATGAAACCCTTGTGTTTATGTGTGCATTGTTGGAAAAGGGGCACGGAGAGAAACAGCATAAACGCTCGCAACGAGGGACCCTAGCTGTGGCCTTGGCACATCTTGACTTGGTCCAAATCAGCGGTGGCCTTTGCAAAGCGTGCCTTCTACCCCTGGAAGCACGCTACACACCGAGCAACGGACACCCTTCTTGCTAGGAACAACTGGGCTGTTCGCAGGTCCTCTGCTCAAAGTTCAGCTTTTTGTGCATTAAAATTCGGCCCACCCAACCACTAAACCCTCAAAAGCGAAAGAGCCAAGGAGATGGCTGGGAACCACCAAGAAAAGCGGCGGAATGACATCCCATACCCCTGGCAAGGCCAACGCTGCGCCTCTTAGAGGCTTTGGGACAGGCGCGAACAGGCTCATCTCTTATGCTTCTTGTGCGCCCAAGCCTCTCTAAGCAAAGGGCAATCAACAGCTACGGATTGGTAGTGACTTCCACTCCTTAGCGTGTCCACCCGGTTTTTGTCGGAAAAGAAAAATGACACTCGGGGCTTGCTTTTTTGCAATGGGAATAATTGATTGAAGTAGTAGTCCCCGACTCAAAGCACAGACTTTCGGGGAGGCGCGCGTATCCCATAGACGTGAAGGGGGTCCCCCCCGAGCTTATTGGCACACCCCAGCTGCGCCCTCTACCACGTATACATCGTTTTGGCACGGACGGTTCAAACTTCCAAATATCCAACGTTGAGCACGCCTGCGGTAGGTGTCCTTTCATATCCTGCTTTTTCGCGCTACCCCGCGTTGCATTGTTAGTAGACATGTGATGCATGTCGGGGGCACCTACCATAGGGCCCAGGAAAATGTGGTGGAGTCGTACTCAGCAGGAGAAATGTGCAAGAGTTGCGGTTGTAGTGGACATCCGACTCCTGTGATACCGGAAACCCTCCCCCCTTAAGAATTAGTCCTGGGGAAGGCTTTCGATCCAGTATCAGGAAAGCAGGCAATTCCGACAAACCTTGGTTGCTTTGATTGAGTGAGCAGCTGGCTCCGGTGTCTCTCATATGGCTGTGCTGCTGCCACCAGCTGACGAACGCATCCTGAGGTCCCGAAGGAAGGGCAAACTCCCTAAAGAGTGCAACAAAAAATGAAATTTCACTGGGGCAACCCCTCAATATTAGAGACGTGTCAGGCGGGGCGAGTTGCAAATGCAGGGCTTTGGCATTTACTGTCTGACTGGATGGAAGGCTGTGAGTGCTCAAATGCTGGCCCAGATCGCCAATGTTCGAGAATTCAAGGCAAAACATGCTTGAGGTCACTGCAGTTACCCCGGAATTGGACCAGGGCCTAGATGCATCGGGGGTACCATCTGCCAATCTGTGCACCAGCCAGCCTCCCACCAATTAACATGGAACCTGACGTTCGGGGGCCCCTTTACAAGGCAAGTGGTCTTCCAGCCCCCCCCTGGTCAGGTTCCATGTTAATTCGTGGGAGGGTATCATTTGCCATTTGCTTCACGCATGGTCCCCAGTGGAGCTCAAGATGTACATCCCACTCCAGTGAATATCGCTAGGTCCTCCGGTAGAGAGGTTAGAATATATAAGGGTACCCTGCCTTCTGTAGTCTATTTTAGTAGGGGAACCCTCCCCCAAAAAAGGGGTGAGAAAGGGCACTACTGGGGGACCTAGATCGGCTGCCGCCTGAGCAAAGAAAAGTGGGCGCTCCCTTGCCCTGTCCTTGCTCATCAGCTCCCCGCCGCTCAGCATATGAACATCTGCCATGGCGATCCTTTTGCTTCCTGGGTTCAGAATGTTTAGCCCCTGCGTGCAACTGGGAATTTATCTTCTTACTTTTCGATCTATAACTTCCAGGGTTCAGAATAGGTACTAGGCCCTGGGCCCTAGCAATACCTGACTTTCCCTGCATGCGACTGGACTCTCTCTTACTTTGCTTGCTCTTTTGCCGGCACCGTGGGCATCTTCGGGTGTGCTGAAGGGTCACTTGATCGACGTAGGCCTCAGACAAGACACAAAGCCCAGACCAAAGACCCAAAGGGAGAAGCTTCAAAAACTGGGGCTACCATCAAAAACAAGCAAGGAAGGTCCTTTACAGAGGATTACCATTGGGGATCTCTAACTAAATGGGAAAATACACATGAAATACACATGGTCATTTGGGGGCCACGAATATCGATCAACCCCCCAGCTCAAAAAGGGCGTTGAAGCCCAGTTGCAGAAACTCTCAACGTTGACATCTTCTTGGGGTTCGCACAGATTATGGCTGGCCGCTGTGCGTCACAAATATCGCATGCAAAACTCCGAGCACACGCAGGAAGTCACGTGCCCCACAAGTTGAATGGTGAGAAGGGCGCTGGGGGACCTAGTCTATCTTTGTCAAGTCAGCTCCCCCATCCTTGATTGCTGCAACGACCCCCCTGCAAAAAGTCTCTAACTTTTTGGGTGTTTAGTGGAAAACACCTCGATTTTTCCAAAACATTAACGTCTAAAGATCCCACCCACTAGCAGTCAAGCGATCCTCGGCCCCCCAAAAAACAATCCGGCGCAGCCCGCAGCCCGCAGCCCGCGAGCGGCGCACTCTTCTTTGTTTTTTCTCGGTCGGTCACTCGCCCTCCTTGGCCTTCCCGCGGACGTAAACACCTGGAGCCTGCGGTGGCCACCCGAAGCCCGCGAGATCCCCCGCGAGATCGGCGCGAGGGGCTGATCGAAAAGCGGAGCCCCTTGGGCAGATGGAACAAAAGGGAGCGGAAAACCGGGCGGGGGAATGGGGGGATGCTCTTTCCAGAAGACCGCCTTTAAGAGACACAAGGCTGAGGTTCCCCAACTCCCAATTTCGAGTCATCTTTGATGAAGAAAAGGGGAAAACCTAGGGCTCGTTCCCAACCCTTGGTTTTATCAGGCCTCCCTGCTGATTTATACGCGTGCAGCTCCCTTGCGACTCAGTGGCCTTGTTTTTCCTCGAACCCTGAGCCCGTTCGTACTTCCAGTTGTGAATCTAATTTTGGGGCGTTGATCAAGCTTCCATGGGCTGCACTAGAAATGCAACTGAGCCACAATTGGAGACGAATACCGCTCAAGCTGCGCACTCAGTCCAAAGGCTATGCGTGAAACCCATCACCAAGTGACTTTCAGTGACTGTTAAGGTAGACATGATAAACCAAACCAGCTGTTTCATGAGAGGGTCCATGTGGAGGTGTTCACTTTGAAAGTTGAGGTCTCCTTTCAACTGGGACACCTGGCTTGAAATCAACCTGGTTCTCCAGGTGTCACCCCTCCCGCCCCCGACTCCTTGCCTGCTCTTCCCAGTCCCCTGGAGGCTTGGCCGACAGGTCCCAGCCAAAACCTCGGGATCCAGTCCTTTTTGGGGAAAATAGATGGCCCTGGTAGACGATTGAACCACCAGGTAAACCAGGAATCGCCTTCCATTTTCTTAAGCAAACCAACCAAAAAGGACACCTATGTTCCAGCCGTTTTTCGGCTTCAGCTGGCCACACGAAAGCAACGCCCCAACCTGAACTCCTCAAACGGAACGAAGTCAGGCCGGGTCAAACGTTCCGAGCTGCAGCAAGGGGGGCGGTTGCTGCCCAAAAATGGTCATTCATGCCAAGGAGTGCCAATGAACACCCTCTCTCTCACGGTGCCTTTGCACTGAATCACATTCATTTAGCGAGCTCGTCGGTGCGGCAATCCACAAGCATCACAAGCAATACATACCCAAAGCTAGCTTCTTACTCACAAAAGCTTCAACGGCCTGGCAAGTGCACCGTGTGCCAAAGAAGTAGCGCATGTTTTGCCCTTGGCATGCCCGTTCAGTCCCGCATGAAACAATGGCGCTCGATGCCGTGTAGGGCCCGAATCTTGAACGAAACTGCTCCGCTGAACCACAAAAGCACCCCTAACAGGTCCAAGTACCTCCTGAGGATGGCTTTTTGGGGGAAGGGGTCCAAGTTGAATAGTCCAGCCTTAGAAAATACTTGGACCCCTTGGGACCAGTTGAAACATTAGCCAAACGGTGGTCTTGAGCCGGGCTTGCCTTCCGCTCCGTGACTCACCCCTTGAACGACGTGGAATGTATGTGATTCCCTCTTCACAAGCCTATCAGTGGTCGAATGGGTCGAACCTAAGCTGGGGACTCCAAGCCAACGACGTTCAAACAAGCGGGGTGCAGCTTGCATCTGATCATGTCACCCAAAACTCACTAGGTCCTCCAGTAAAGAGGTTAGAACAAGGGTACCCTATTTTTTTCTGTAGTCTATTTTCGTAGGGGAACCCTCCAGCACCAAAAAAGGGAGAGCAAGGGCACCACTGAACAACTCAAAAGCTCAGGCCGTGAGCCACCACCCCCCCCCCCCCCCGCCCTGCGCAAAGTGCCGAGGCGCCGCCGCGCTCCTTGCTGAGAAACTTCCTGGGCGAGCGCGCACGCCGAAGCTCAATGTAAGCTCGGAAAGCGATGGTCATGACCGGTACCCGGCTAGGCCTCTCATGACTCATGTTTGGACCATAGGTGTCCTGTTTGGAACATAGATGGCATTGGTAGATGAAGTGGTAGATGATTAAACCACCGGCCTTCTATTTTTTAAGCAAACCAACCAAACAAAACACCTCATGACTCATGTTTCGACTTTGCATTGAAGAGGAGCATCGACCCACGGCAAAAAGCTCTGCCTCTCGTTCACTCACTCATTACAATCATCTCACAGAATTCAACCGGGTGAGGCGGCATCAAGATAAGATGCCGGAACGAATCAGCCCCTGGGCGTACGTGAAGCGATCTGTTTCAGACAGAGTGGTGCAAAAAGCTATGACATGATGGCAGCCTACGAGGAGGTCTTCGAGGCCACTAAGGAAACCCTCCCGTAGCTTCCCTCTAAAGCAGCTGGTATCAGACTCTTATTGGACCCCCCCCTTTTCCCCAAAAGAAGAAGAAGACTTCAAACGCCGGATTATTCAGCTCAGCAATGCTCTTAAAATGTAAAAGAGCCGTAAAACCGCGTCGGCACGGAGATGCTTCGACCCGCAGCAAACAGGGATCCTTACATTATACACCTGAGCATCGCCTTGTAAATGGTGGGTTCCCTTTATTTTGGTGCCGAAAGAAGAACCATGTTTCACATGGTTGCAAAATGGAGACCTTTTAAGGAGCCCTGGGCAAACCCACAAGATTCCCCACCAAACCAAAAAGCATCTCAACCCTTGCCATTTCATTTCACACTGGCCTTCCGCCAGCTCTGGGAACCCGCCATCCCAAGCGATCGATTTCGATCGCCCAAGCTGAGGCCCCCGACTTCAGGAAGGCGATGGAGGTGAGGTTAAACCGTCCGCCCCCTCGAGACCCGAAGGTGGCCCCAGTCAGCCGCAGCTTGCGGTCGTACTCCGCGCGCTTGGGGTCGTCGCTCAAGATCTCGTAGGCGGAGGACACCACCTGCGCGTCGCTCAACCCACGTGGCGGGCCCATTTTGAGACACTGCGACCTAGAGCCACGCTGAGTGGAGCCTTGGGCTGCACCTCGTTTTTTGGAACTTGTCGTTTTTACCAGTGTCAACAATACGAAACATGCAGCAGTTCTCGCAGGGAGTTGGGCCAAACCTCTGCAGGCCATCCGCTGCTGAAACAGCTCTGTCTGGAAGAAAGGCTCTGGATATTCCAACAGCTCAGCTTGCCGACTGGTCCTTTCCAAGTTGGCTGTTCGCAAGTGTGGGTGCTTTCCTTGAAAGTGAACTGACATGCACAGGAAGTCGTCCCTTAGAAACCTGGAAAATACATTGTGATCTCCTTTTGGCTTTTGGGGCCGTGTATAAACATGGTTACCAACATGGGAAAACCAAAATATCACATGCGGTCGATTCGCGTCGGGCAACTGAAACTAGGTCCTCCAGAAAGGTTAGAATAAGGGTACCAACATTTTTTCTGTAGTCTATTCTAGTAGCGGAACCCTCCCAACCAAAAAGGGGCGAGAAAGGGCACTACTGGGGGACCTAGTAATTAATGCTTCCCCCCTCCACTTGAGACGAGCAACTTGCCTTGCTATAACTGGCTTCGTGCCTTGAAATTCCACGAACGATTCCACGTACCTATAGGGAAAGGAAAGGGGACCCATTCCCAGGCCGAGGCCGCGTCCGACGTCCGGGGCCTTAAACGCATTCTCCGCCTGCTGCCGTAGGTCCTTGGCCCAAGCCAAGAGTGGAGCTCACGTGGAACATCCCACCGGCCACCGTTTGTGTTCTCCGCTTGTTTTTGGTTGTTTATTGGTTATGTTCTTCTACCATGTTCAAAGTCACTCCAGACATGGTAACTTGGTTTTGTGATGTTTATGGTGTGTTTGTTTGGTTTTTTCCTACCATGTTCAAAGCCACCCCAGAAATGTCTGGTCATTAGGCCACAACCCCGGTGTCTGACTTTGACAAGCCCCCAGAAACTGTCAAAATCATGACCCCTGGTTTTTAGAATGGAAATTGGAAGCACTAGGGGCTTGCTAGGGGCTTGCGGCTTGAACCCGTTTCTCGCCCATTCTCTCCAGAGGCTCCGGGTCGTTGAGATGCCCGACCTTGTCCGGGTGAATGCTGAGCGACACCTGCGATCCCCATGGCACCGTAACGGCTCGTGGTCTGTCGCTGGCTCATTGGCTCATGGCAGACCTGCAAAAAAGTTTCACTTTTTGGGGGTTTAGTGGAAAACACCTTTATTTCCCAAAAAGTTAAAGTCTAAAGATCCAACTCAATGGCGGTCAAGCTTATATTGCACTTGTTCAGGCGATGGTATGGAGTAGCGCGATGCTACTCGGACAGTATAAGACCTGGTCGGGTCAAAGTCCACAACACGTCCGGCTATATTGCACTCGTCCGCCTTGAAAAAGCGGACGTACGCGAGGTATGAGCTCTATTTTGAGGTCTTGCCGCTAAGGCTGAGGGGCCCTTTGACACCACGAGCCTGGGTCCTAGGTTCATGCCCTCACTTCCTGAGAAATTCGCACAAAAGAAAGAAGGTAAGCACACTGCGAATTTACCCACTAAATAAATTTATTTCCCAAAAGTCTCAAGTCATGGAGAGCTGAGTCTCACCTAAAAAAACAAGGTAACCAAACTTCACCCAGTGGGTGTCTTCCCAGGGTGCCATACAAAAACTGTTTTGGGACGTGTCTCTGACCTAGGCTAAGCCTCAGGCTCTGGGTCTTCTCTCCCTCAAAGCCGCCTGGCGGTAGGCTGCGCGGATCTGGGCCTTCTCGGAGTTCCCAGGGACCCCCAAGGTCTCGTAGAGGTTCAAGGCCTCGCCCACCTGACACCGAGATGCCAGGGCATCCAGGGCCACGTGGTCTGAGAAAAAAGGGCTCGGCCCATGTGTCTAACCCTCACCCAGTTTCTTAGCAAATTGGCCAAAAGTCGATTGCTTGTGTTTACCGCCAACATGGCGGTAAAGAAGTCTATAAAAAGTCCAGGAACTCAGGGAGTGCGTGCAGTGGCCAACGCTCGTCCTTGCGAGCCAATTGCAAACGCTTCTCTTCTGCAGGGCCAGGGGGTTATCGCTTTTGGTTCCTCCCAAGGCCGCACCACGAGGCTCTATGTACCACTCCAAGCACTGTGCGTGTCTATGTTTAATAGTAGTAATGATGATAACAATAACTATGATACCTACAGCATATCACACACGTGTTTTCCGAGCTGTGCCCTTCCTCTTGTTGAAGCGCCCATGTTGAACGCCACCCTGTGGCGCTATAAACAGACAGGCCGTGGGGGGAACGCGCGGTGCGGGGGATTTGCCCGGCCTTGTCCAGCACGAATTGGATCCCTTCGCCGTCCTCCACTTTCCACGTGGTGGGCCGCGGCTCCGGCGCCGGCAGCGCCGGCTGACTCGGCGCCGCTCCCGGCGGCGGTTTGGAGGCCGGCTCCGGCTTCTTCTTGGCGCCGGGGTTGCGGTAGTGGAACTCCCCTCAGCGCGGCGGGTCTTTGGGAAGCGCGCCGCGCCATTGGCGGGAGCGAGGCTCTGATCTGAAGGTTCCAGGTGTCGGAAGGGGGGCATCCCAAATGCCCCTGTGGCGGGCTTGGGGCTCAGGGCAAGGGCCCTATGCCGCTTCCAAGGCGGCTAGAGTCAAGATTGGTTCACCTTGAGGGCAGGTGTAGAAAGAAAGAGGGCACTTGTGGAAGGGCTTCTGCCAACTTGACCCGTCGTACCTCGCGCTTCCCCAAACTTTTCTTCATGTTGGTTCCTCAGCAAGGTGCCACCCGCCCGAGACGCCCGCCCCGCCCCCCGTTGCGCCCCGCCCGCCCCCAAGGCGAACCAAAGAGCCAACGATGAAGTGCCGCACGCAGGAGCAGCTGCAGCGGCGACAGCTCACCTCTGCAACATGCCGAAGCCCCAACCGGGAGGCACGCGCAGAAAGCAATTCTGCGGGCAACCAAGCAGAAGCTGTTTTGGTTCACACCTAGGTCCTCCAGTAGAGAGGTGAGAATAAGGGTGCCAACTTTTATTCGATAGTCTATTTTAGTAGGGGAACCCTCCCAACCAAAAAAGGGCAAAAGGGCACTACTGTGGGACCTAGGCTACTGCGAGCAACCAAGCATAACCTGTTTTGGTTCACACGGTGTGTATATGCTTCATTTGCCAAAGCGAACAAATGGCCTCGACGCTCGCTGCCTTCTCAGGGAGTACTGTGCCCAGAAGGGGCCACCACTTTCTCAACCCCCCTAATGTTGACCCCCGGAATAATGAAGCGGCTTTATTAACAGGAGGCGTCCCCCATCCAAAAGCGAGGAATCCCACTAAAAAGGGGACCCCCTATCAATCAACCAGGGGCTTATCTCAGATGCCCAGTGGCCATGGGAAAAAAGGGGGCACCCTTTTTTGGTTGAGTTTCGAGGGGGACCCTCCCAAACAAAAAGGACAACAGGAAGCAACCCACTGGGCAACAGAGTTCTTAACCCTGGGTTTATTTACCAGGCTGGAATTAGAACCCCAGCAAACATAATAACATCTTTGCCTGTTTTGTTTTTTTTGTTGGCCTGGTGAGTGGAAAACAAAGGGGGACCCCCAAAAAGCAAAAAAAGAACAAAAAGGGAGCTAATTGGCTGTGGGTAAAAAATAGGTACCCAAAATGGCACCCTGGGAAATGGAAACGATGACTAAAACCTGTGGTCCGATTCCTGGTGGTTTAATTTTGACCCAGAATTACCCAATTCTGGGGAATAAATTACTTTTTTGCCTGGTTAGTGGAAAACAAAGGGACCAAGCAAACAAGAAAGGGAGCTAATTTTCTCGGGGTTATTTCCTGGGTGTTGTTGTTTCTTTCTGTTTTCCGCGGAGGCGTTTCCTCTTCGCCTCCTCCAGGGTGTCACCGGTGCGGGGCCGCTCACCATACTCCGCCAGCACGAAGCCGTGGCAAGAGCCTCAAGACTCGAAGACTTGAGGTTTGAGGGGGAGGGGCACCCAAACCTCAACCAAAAAAACAAAAAACAACGTATGGGTAACCATGGTAACCCATGTTCTCCATGTATGGCAACCCAAACCTCGCCATAACCTAATTATTTGCTATCTGCTCTATTCAGGTCCCATATGCGAACTGAGTGTTACTGACTATAAGGGGGATCTTCCCCACAAAGGAGAAAATGGGCTGCCATAAATGGAGATTTCCAGGGGTCACCCTTCTTCCCCAATCCCATTTACAAGGGGGCGGGGATGGCCCAAGTAAGGGAAACTCCAGGCAACTTACCCCCCTTCCAACTAACATAGCACCAGACATGGGGCCCCTTGAAGAGGAAACCCGTCTTCCAGGTACCCTCCCAGAGGTGCCATGTTAGTGGAATTCTCAGCCGGGAATGATATCACGAACAACGATCCGGATCCGATTTGGCTATCGCACCAGCAAGAAAACCTTTGGTTGAGCTCCTTGAACTCCCAAGATACCGCATCCGGGAGAACATGATCTTCCAACACAACACGCTGAAAGGAACTGCAACATGCCGAAGACGGGGCAGTTTAGGTCAAGCTGTCCGTTCGTTTTGCACCCAATGGCAGAGCCCCTGGAAGGAACCATAGCATGGAAAGAGGCAGATCTGCCCAAAGCGTAGAACTTGAGCACTTCACACAGTGTGCGAATGGACATGCAGGTTTAAGTTGTCTTTGGAGGTCCTTTGGAGGGAATGAAAGAAACTGCTGGGTAAACGTTTGACTGCGCAACCTTCAAATATATCAACCCCAGAAGTTGCATGTATAAGTGTTCCTCTTCCCTTTCGCAAAAACCTTCCAGCCTTCCGTCCCGCAGGCAATGCTCGGTTTGGAGCGAGCCATTGATGTGGTTGGAAACTACTACCAAGCAGGTAAAAAAACTACGACTAAAACTCACCGTTTCACCAGAGGAATCCTCGAATGCCAGCTGAGGTGACGCTCAAAGTGGCCAAAACTGTGAGGCGTTTCAGGAAATCTCTCCCAGCCACTTTGATAACCCGCCCCAGCTTTGGAGTCGGAACTTTTGCCTGCGCCCCATCCCAACCAAGCCGAGACGGCCAAGGGGCAGTCCATGCAGCGGCCCCGGAGGTTCGCCAAAGGATCCACGCACAAATTGCCCTCCTCGAGCTTCTCGATGGTTGCGCCAGTCTCCGCCTCCTGTCCGAAAAACTTGGTCAGAGCGAGCAAAGGTAAGGCAATCCGCGCGGCAGAAACGGTGGTGTTCTGGTCCGTCAACATGGACTACTGTCATTCTCGATTCTTCCCTGCGGACTTCAACCAAAAAGCTCAAGAGAAAAGATCCGTTACCCAGCGGCAATCAAGTAACAAAAATCACCTCCCCCCCCTCCCCCCTGGCGGTTCTCGCGCAGTTCTCGCCTCCCAGGGCCCCTGGCACTCCGCAAAGAGCTCGCCCCCTCGGTCCGGAGGTGCAGTGAAGACCTGGAGTGGGGCGGGGTGGGGTGGTGGTTGGTGGGGCCCGTGGCTGGCCCATGAGCTAAGGGGGTCATGGAATGATTTGGACTGGTGCAGCTTTCGGGCAGCCCATGGTAGCCGTGGCGCCAGCAAGAAGACCGTGGGCGCCAGGATCCAAAGGGTGCACTTGACATGCTGCATCAAAGTGCCTCGTAGCGATTGCATTTGTTCAAATCAGAATCAGCCGCTAAACCATCCGGAAGAGGCGATTCCGCAAGAGTGGTGATTGCCCATTTCAAGGCCGCCCTTTGATTAGTCCCGTCCTCCAGATCTATCTGGGCATGCAGCACATCACACGGAACCCCCCAAGATTTGCATGAAGGCCGCCCGACGGCCCCACAAAACTCAGCTTTCTACGGCAAGGCCATTTCAGCTAATTCAGTTAGTTCCGCCAAGGGATGCAATGCCAGCATGTCCCCCCAAACATTGCTTCGTTGAGGTCCCAAACCTGTCACACCAGAACAATGACCTGCAAACAGCCCAAGTCATTCGTCCCTAAGAAGTTCCTTCATGGGCAAGCTGGCGTGATTCTGGGGCAATCAGTTGGCAGACCAGCCCTATAACGTGACTAAGTGGTGGTCACTCTCCCCCCAGTTAACGTGGAACCTGACGATCGGGGGGTCCTGGTTTGGGCCATTTCCTTTTAAAGGGACCGGGGCCCGAAGGCAGGGATCCACGGGGGGAAAAAAGGAAGGTGGGAGTGCTTCGAGTCTTACGTTTTTCCGTGTTCCGTCTGAACTTGCCGGTGCTCAGCAGGGAATAAGAATTGGAATGACCCTCATAAAACCATCCATAGTGGTTTCCTGTAAACGGTTCATTTTTACATTCCCTACCTATCGCACCAGCAAGTCAAGTAGGGCTAACGGCACCTTCCACGTAAAAAGCCCTCGGAACGCCTTGGCGGTGATGCGGAACCGCAGCAGCGTCTCGGAGGGTAGCTCGTGCACCCGCGCCATGCACCTGAAAAACCGAGTCGAGGTGGGTTGCTCGTTTTCTGATCCGCTGCGAAATTCGGAAACTACAACTAAACCAAGGAACAACAACTAAAAAGCGAAGGAACCGGATGGCTGGGAGCCGCCAAGTGAATGAATTAAAGTTCGTGGGAGCCGCCAAGTGAATGAATTGAAGTTCGTTCAAAAATTGGTCGACGTCCTGGATCTTTGTGGCAAAGGAACAGGGGAAGTTTGGAATCCGCCCAACTTGCTGGATACCCGCGCAGGGCTGAAAGCCGTCTACTGGGCAGAGCGGCGATGTGTTCCAAAACCCTCAACCTCGTGGCGAATCTCATCTGAGACAAAGAAAGCTCCACGGGTGCCATCATCGGCATCTGGCACTTTGGGGTGCATTGACTTCCAGAAAGCCGCCGCCGGAAAAATTAAATAACATGTTCTTTGGTTGTAAAAAAAAAAAAAAACGACAAACGTGGAGCTGACGGGAGCTCCCAACATCCGAAGCGCTTGTCTTTCTCGTGCCCGGCGGCATGGTCTCCCGTGCAGTGACGATGGTGATCTTCTCCTTCTCCGCCTCCTCCGCCCACTCCACCTGGTACTCCACCTGGCAAAACGGACTGCTCAGAGCGAGCCCCTGGTGCTAAGGTGTGCAGGGCGAAGAAATCGAAAACCAACGGAAAGCGACACAAAGGCCGAAGTGGGCTCACGATTCTTGGGGCAAAACATAGAGAACGACCATGAAGCTATCAGAAAATGCCCCAAGGGGACCAAGGAGTAAGTAGCTGCATCTTGCCTCACCAAGAAGCTGAGGCACGGCGGAGGGCGCCGGGCCGGATGAAACGAAAGAGAGGCACATGCGGAAGCCTTTGGGCTCAACTACATGCCCTCTGGAATGATGCTGGTAGATACCACGATTGCCCACATACTCCTCGATGAATACATTTATCTAAATTTCAATCTATATATGCATACATATGTATATATATATATATGCATATACACACCCATACAAGCATACAAACACAATTAAAATAAACACGAGTCGGGGACACTATGGCATATGCCGTGGGTATCTCCTTGAAACCATGGCCCCGACGAATGAATTACGGGCGAGGATTATCTACGTGTTGATGGAGTCACTTCAGCTACATTAAAATATCCAGCGCCAGTCAGCCAGAGGCAAGGACGTCCACTCTTGTTGCCCTGTCATTGCCTTTATGCGCAGTGGGGAATATGGGAGCCAGCTTGACTCCATCAACCCTTCCCTGCAAGAATTCAGGGACGGCTGAAATCGGCTGGAAGGGGGTCATTCCCATATACTGAGAACAAGACAAGCGAGTTGTATGAAGCGTGGGCTGAAAGCAGCTCCAGCGACCTGCGCCGGTGTAGTCATAGCTGGTGTGTCGAAGCTTTGTGGCATCAGTTCCATCTTGTTCCACTGGCGATAAGCTGCTGACTTTATCCACGATCGCGATGCGGAGCTTTGCCCCCAACTTGGGAGGCAAAGGTTGAATGACCCTGTTCAGAGGAGTCCTCCCCTTTGCTTGAAAACCTTTTCCAACCCAGCTCCCTCCCCTGTGCGGGCTGGGTTAAAATATCTTTCCCCCCAGGGTCGGGCAACCGTGCCCGCCATACCGCACTAGACAACTGGCCAGGGGCGCGTGCTTGGCAGGGAACTTCTCCCAGTCAAGCACCACCTCAGACGGCGAAAGGCGGAAGGCGAATGGCAGCAACACATGGCCTGGGAATGAGGGAGGGGATGAACCGATTTGGGAATCAACAACAAAGGAAGCCATGGGAAATGAATGGTTTATATAGGGGTCATTCCCTTGCTCATTCTCTGAGTGGGCTGTCCGTTTTCAGATCTGCGAAAAGTGAGTCTAACTTTTTAGGGGTTTAGTGGAAACCACCACTCAACTAAAAACCCAAAAGCATAAGGGGATGATTGGGAACCACCAAGCATCATGTACCCTCCCAACATGGATTGACATGCACCTTTGGAAGGGCGCGCAGGCCCCGTTGCAGAAATTGTATGACTCCTTGGTAGAAATGGAGGGGAACAGACATGCAGTGCATGCAGTGCTGAAGCATCGCAGATGCACTTGACACGAAAGGGGAGGAGCGCTCATTGCAGCTGGTTTCTTTAGAAAGTTGGCATATTGAATTTTGAAGGTGCACATGATCAATGGCGCCATGCCTTTCGCATGAAAATGACCGTGCAGAGCAAACCGGCAAACAGGCAGGGCCCAAATTAGCGTTTGGGGCGTCGATTCCCATTCTTCCACGGGACCCGTGTTTTCCTGCCACCCTACGAGCGGTGGTTTCTTGTTCGACTGTTAAGCCTTTCGCAGCCATAGGTGGCCTTTGGCAAATGGAACAAGCCCATCTCAACCAGTGGAACCCATCGGTTTGGAACCAAAGTCACCCAAAAAGGATGCCTATGCCAGCAGCCAAGCCTCTTGCACCGATCCGAGCCAAGGTGCTGCATAGGAAAACGCCCGGATCTCCTGGCTCTCACCGCAAGAGCAGGGCTCCCAGAGAGCTCCAAAAACCGCCCCCGAATGCTTCAAAGCAATCAGCTTTAAGCTTCATGTCTAGGGACACCCCGTATTAATAACTGGGGGTGCTTGATATGGGATCAACATTAACCTCAACAGCTCGACCCAACTTAGTGTTCGTTCCAGCCACCATCCCCCCAGAAAAGGAGGCAAAGCAAGCGAGAAGCAACCAACCAACTAACGATTTGGTTGGTTTCTGCAACAACCCCTCGCAAAAAGTTGAAAACAGTTTGTGGGTTCAATTCGGGAACCCCCGTATTTCAGCGAAACGGTTGAAGTTCCAACCCAAACTCACCAACTTACCAACTAAAGAGAAGCAATATCATCAACTAACCAACTAGCCAACTAGCCAACGAACCAACGAACCAACTAACCAACTAATGTTGGACCCTCTTTAACGGGCCCCCCCCTCAGTCAGCGCGACCATGTTTAGTGAGAATCCCTTGGTCTGGGTGGGACTTGGACTTGCCAGTACTTACTTGAGTATTTCCAATTCTATTTTAGTATTGTCAAGGGCGACTCTCAGATTCCCAGTGCGTGCTTTAGCATTGCCAATTGTACTTTGGTATTGCCAAGCTGACTCTCACATTCCATGTGCTTACTTTCGTATTGCCAATTCTAAGTTTAGCAAGCCCGACTCACATTCCCAGTGCTTGATTTAGTATTGCCAATTCTAACCTCGCAGGGTAAAGCCCGTTTTTTTCAGCAACTCCCAGCAAAGCTGGACACTAAAGAGGACCCCAAAACAGTCACATTAAAGAGGATCAGGGCCTCTTGTAGGCCACTCCCTTTGTGTGACTGATTGCCCTTACTTTTGTGTAAAGCAGCTATCTTAAATTTGATGGTTTGGGGACTACTTTCAAAAAAGAACTTTGAATGTTTGCCCGGATTTGTTTGCTTGTTTTGTCCGACTTGTGTGGCTAGTTGTATTTTGCCCGTGCTTTTCGCAGCATTTTTCCCAGCAACCACACTTTCCACAATAGAGGATCCCAAAACAGTCACAGGACCTAAATTAGGACAAGACTTGCTACAATAGAGGCCCCTATCATTAAAGGAGGTGTAACATTACCGAGGTAAGCAACTCAGCAACTAAGCAACAAGCAACCAACAACTAACCAGCTAAACCAGCTAAACCAACTAAGAAACCAAGGTGAAACAAGCCAAGCAACAAGCCAACCAAGCCAACCAACTACTAACACCACCAACTTCCACACCCTCCGCCCTCCCGGGGACCCGGGACCCCAGGCCCCCCCAGGCCCCCCCCCAGCCCCCCCCCCCCCGTCCTTGGGCACCGGGTGCTGCGGCTGCAGCTGTTCCCCGAGGTTCAGAGAGGAGGCGTCCACCAGCACCCAGCCGCCCTTGGAGCTCGTGGGCGTCTTCGCGCCCTGACCGGGTGGAGACAAGGCTTGCCCTTCGACCTGCCTGCTCCACCAGTTTCAAGGTAGCGAAAAAACAAATCCGTATGTGTATAAATATAATGTATCTACTAATATATATATATATATATTTGTGTATTTATATTTAATTATCATGTAATACATCCACATGAGTCAACCAAATGCCCCTTGGTTGCTGCCTGGATATCCCCAGTATCTCGCCTCCGCCAGGAGCAGCCACTTCTCCTGGAGCCAGCCGCTCACCATCTGGCCCCGCTTCAGCTGCGCCACCGTGCGGGAGCTCGTGGAGGGCCGCCGGTGCACCGGAAGCTGGCCCTAACCGAGGCGCCGAAGCCGCGCCGCAGGCGCTTCGCTTCTTAACCGCGTCGCGTTTGCGCTCGGATGTTTTAGAACGGCCCTGGAAATGTGTGAAACACCTGAACCCTCCAAAAGTACTGGAATTCTTGCAGACAGTCGCAAAAAAGAGTGCCCTTGGTTGGTCCAGGCATGTTCCATGTTGGGGAGGATCAATGAGACCAAACTTGGGCGAGAAAAAAACAAAAAGAAGACCCGCCTGACATTCTCCCAGCGGGGTTTATGACTTGAAGCCACGATCCGACCTTCCGCGTTTCTCGCCCGTTTGGTCTCTTTATCTAGCTGGTGCGGTAGGCAGGCGCGTCTTTGCCCCCTAGAAGCAATGAGAACGTGATAGACTTTCTTCAAAACCAACACAAGATAGTCTGGTCAAATGGAAGCAGGGAATGAGGGAATGACCCCAAATAATATGGTTTCCTTTGAGGGAATCCGCTTCCGATTCATTCCCGGCCATTCTTACTGAGCAACAGCAAGTTCTGGGCCTTCGAATGAAAGACGATTCTGAATTGGCACTCCCTGGTGAGCACCCCGGAAATAGAGCCCTGTGAGTGTAGAATGCATCTTTGAGGGCATTTGCGCATGCGGGGCATCAACAACGAGCACAAACATAACCAAACACGCGCAAACAAGCGCCCACCCACCCACCAACACACAGACACGAGTGTACGTATACTGTACACATTAGTGTTCAACCGCAAGCAAAGAAAGGGTTGGTTTGGTTCCAAGCAAGATTTCGCCATGGCATGTTGAATGATGGACATCAAGCCTTCAGCACCAGGAAGTCCGCCGGCTTGGTGTAGATCGCCTCCATAAGCCCTTGCAAAGGATCCTGGGGCCAGTTCCGAGGAAACGATGCGAAACGGCCGGAAAAAAAGGGCGCCCGCTGGCCCGCTGGATGAGGACAACGCCAAGAAAGTTGTCAAACAAATATTAGACAGGAACCGGTTGTTCTAAGGATTCTCCGGGATTACACCCTGGGATTCTACAGTGCAGTTACCCCAAAGAGTCGCAAGTGGACCAAAATCATCAGGGTTTGTCTGTGAATGGGCTTAAAACGGGTGATTTCGAATAGCAAAAACCCTTTGGTGGTGGGGCCGGACTCCTTTTTAGGGTGTCCGGCTGCTATCTTCACGAAATAACGAACGTCATCTCCACAATAAGGAGCGCAAGTCCCAGATTGTGGAATGTTCCAAGTTGCCGGAAAGGGAACTCTAGGACGCGTTGTGCCTTATTTATTTTCCCCTGACGGGATGTGCTTGAGCCCAGCTTTTCCTTGGAATCAATTGCAGTTGGGTTCATGAGCCTTTTGCTGATGGCAACGGGGGTCCTTGTCGCTTCTGCACGGGTGAGGTTGCGACATCTGAAAGAAGGACGCAACTTCATGGAGTTGTATGGAAGGGGTAGGAGTTTGCCCCTTCCACTGGGCAAGTTGGGTGGGACGTGCAAGCACCCTCCTGATTGCATTGGAAACGCCCCCCTTGGCTGACGATATTGAAATCCCTTCTTCCAGCGCCATAGTTGTGTCCTGTTCTTATTTTCATGTGCCCGAAGTACTTTGAAACAGAGAATGGCCTTTGGGACCGAAGTCGCAAATCCACAAAGATCAAAGGCAAAAACAAAGCGGCGAAAAGGATCGATTTCTATTGGGCCTGCGTTCTGTCCCCTCCCCCCTTGCTTCCCAGGCGCAATTCGCACCGCGCCGAGCTCGTCCTCGCTGTCCGGCTCAGCGGTCGATCCGCCCGCCTTGGCCTTAGCCTTGGGCTTCCTCTTCTCCTCCGCCTTCCTCAGCTGATGATCCGCAGGCTGTTTTTTTTGAGAGATGCCAGCGCCGGCTGACGGCAGAACCAAAGTTTTCGGAGTCTTTGGCATATCATCCCCATTGAAACTCCCGACTTGTCCCGTGCGCTGTGCCTTGGCTCGAGCCACTTCCAGGGGTCGAAACTACCCACGAGCTCGAGGCCGAAGCCGAGCTCGCTCGAGGCCGGAAGCATCCGGGAGCCGAGGGGCCTGGCGGCTTCCTTGGCCTTGCGCTGCTTGGCCTCCTCCTCTTTCTGCAACTGCTCCCGGAGCTCCGGGGACGCCAACTCCTTGCCAGGAAAAGGCTTCCCTATGGCGGGGGTGCACGGGTGGGTTCAGGCATGTGGCGGCTGAAAACCCAAATGGCTTGCCCTGGTAAATGGAACCCTGCGGACCAATTCCTGAGGGGTGGTGGTGTACTCTTGACCCATACCCAGGTCGGCTTCCCTATGGCGGGAAAAGCACCCAATTCGTGGGGCGTTTGGGCCTTTTTTAGCATTTAAGTGGTGATTTCCCACTAAACCACAATAAGCAAAAATGAAAAATAGATGTCTTCTTGTTTTTTTAAGCTGGGGCCTTGAATTCTTGCGATGGAATGTCCTCAGTGTCGAGCACTGCGTATGACTTGTAATTACTTGTTGGGCGCATTGCAGTGATCATGGCATTGCCTTCTGGAGTCGAAACAACTGGAACTTGCATGCAGGAAGGAGTTTACGCAGCCCGGCCTTCCGATTTGCGTTTGCATACCTGCATACATCAATGGGAGCGATTTGCCCTGCATAGTGTTATGTACGCTCCATCCGCATTCCGTCAGCCCGCCTCAGGCACCAGCAGAGTCGCGAGGCCCAAATGTGTGCCATCCATCAGCACCCAAGCATCTACGAATTTGCTCTTGGCCGCCCGTGTGTCGGACTTGGGCATGACGTTCACCTGGCGCTGGTCACGACATCCCTGTGGCCTCGTTCGGGGACAAATCTACGCGTGTCCAACGAAAGCGGAGAAAAGGTGTATAGCTGGAGATACTCTTATGCCGACAGCATCCGCCAGCCCTTTGCGACCACGACAGGGCGTAGGGGCTTGTGTTGCGACTGCAATAGGCATTCACGAATGGGCGCCCCACCACCCCGCCCCGCCCACCCTACCCATCCCCAACCCCCCAAAAAGCGATGGCCCCAAGGACTGCTTCTGGTCCTGTCTAAAGATGAGTTCCCGTCAAAAGCGATGGTGTTCAGGATGGGTACTGCTTTTGAGATGGTATGCTTCTGGACCAAGGGAGATCTGCACAGCAGAACCTACGACCTGCTTCACAGGGTAGGGATGGACGCCCGCCCTTCCGATGCTACGGGCATTCAGGGGGATAGCTTTTGGCAAGGAAGGCTCCTCTTCCTCTAGTGAAGGGGATAACTTTTGAGGGAATCCCTGTCAAGTGCATTCACGGGGAATGGTCCGAATGGTCCGTTTTTGTTTTTGTTTTCCATCCCCGCTTTGTTTGGGTTTTTTTCCCGTCCAGGAAAAAATCCCAAACAAAAATAGCCCTCCTTGTGGAATATGACTCTCGTTCACATTTCAGGGGAGGCACTTGCGGAGAAGGCAGCAACCCACGAGCACTGCAGGCTACCGCGAGCTGCCCGGCTTCCACTCTCTGGCTTCCTCCCTTGCAGGTCGATCAGACCTTTCGAGAATCAAGCCACACCTGGTCTTTCCCTATCTCTGTGAACCTCGTCCCCAGCTTCAGATCCATATTCTTCATGAACTGTGGTATTCGACCCTTTTCAACTCACAATTCCGCATCTGTGACACCTTGTGGCTTTAGCCACAAGCGAGCAACCGGAACATCCAACTCGGCTGCTGAGCACCCCACTCGAAACTGGGCTGTCCTCAGATCCCCTGCTAACAAAGCTTCACTTTTTGCGGGTTCAATGGGCACCCCCAACCAAAACCCCAAACACATCTAAAAACATCACAACAAGACATCAAAAAACAACAAACATCTAAAAACATCTAAGAACATCTAAGAACCTAAGGAACCGGAGGAACCGGGAACCACCACGCCGATGCTTTCTTAGGGCTTCTCACCCCTTCGGCGCCCGAAGGCCTGAAGCCCTGCCTCGCGCGCCGTGTCGCGCGTGAGCCGCAGCCACCGGCCCTCGCAGCACCCGGAGACCTCCGTGCCCTGGCGCAAGGCCCCCAGGGCGTCGCCTCGAGGACTTGACGACTCGAGAGCGACGAGAGGTGAAGCGGACGAGGCCCGGAGAGGAGGCCCGGAGCGGCGGGGAAGGGGCCGAACCTATATGTCTTCCAGTTGGTCGCTTTTTATTTACTAGGTCTGAGAGGAGAGGAGGCCCGGAGCTTGGTTGAAGTTGGAAGGGGAGCCACACTTTGGATTCTAGCGGTTAAGTGGGGACTTCAACCACTAAACCACAAGAAACAAAAATGCCAAATGTTTCCCAACAACAACCATGAAAAAGGAGGCCCCGAGAGACTCCGGAGCTGCGGCGGGGGAGGGGTCAAACCTGTAGGTCGGCGTTCCAGTTAATCACTTTTTGTTTCTGGCTCGAAAAAGGAGAAATACAGAAAACAGTGAATTTCCATCACTCAACCCTTCACCCACCATCTCTCGTGCAGAAATTTCAGCTCTTTGGAGAGGATTGTGCTAAGAGGTATTTAGTCTTCCATCTCTTAACATCCGGAAATTCCAGTGTTGGTTGTTAGACCTACCAAAGGGCATGCCCCAGTTAGATAAAATCCCCTCAACCGACCAATTCACATAATATGTTTTCATCAATTCATAACAGAACCTCAACTCAAGATTTGATACATAAATTTTGCAAATATGTTTCTAACTTTTCAAACATATTATTTTACAAAATTATCATTTTTCCGAAGAAATGTAAATCATAAATTTTACAATATTCATATTGTAAAGTTTATGGTTAAAATTTAAATCATATTATTTCATAATTTGAATAATTGCAGAATTCCTCACGGAATATGCTGAAATGAAATAATTTTCCAGAAAGGGTAATTCACCTACAATTTGAAAAACTTTGTCCTTCACTTCCTCCATTTCCTTTTTGACCTCTGGTGCTACTGGAGGTTCTGAATTTTCAATTTCATTAGGTTTTTCTTCCTCAACTGTTGTTTTTACTTTATTCTCATTCTCAATATGCTTCAACGTTTTCAAATGCTTGGATATTGCAGATTTCCTCACTTTACACTGGCAAATGTCACATTCTATTTCAATCTGATTACGCACTTTACTATATTCCTTTTTCTTTTCCTTCCTATCAATTTTACTTTGTTCTCAGCAGGAATCGCAAATATGCACTCTAACATTAAATAGGTCGGTGGATAAGTGTTTTCACATCGCCTACATTCTTGCATTTTGTCAGTCATCTCCATGCTACTATTGATAGGTGGCATGTCTTTAAGACCAGACCATCTTAAAAATCCCAAATTCCCAAAATCCCAAAATATATTTTTCCAAAATCCCAAAATATATTTTTCCAAATTCCCAAAAATCCCAAAATATATTTTCCAAATTCCCAAAATATATTTTTCCAAAATCCCAAATTCCCAAAATATATTTTTCCAAAATCCCAAAATATAAAATCCACATAATTTCAAAACATAAATCTTACAATGTTTTTATTGTAAGGTTTATGGGTTAATTTGTAGTTTAAGTTCAGGATAATAATTTAATTGATGACTATTAAATTGTGTATATATCTTACCTCTTTCATGCATCATTTTAAAAATAATATTAATATCTCTAACTGAGTTTTTGACATTAAACTTTTTTCTTTCAATATATGTTTTAATGTCTTCTTTTACATCAAACCCTTCCCTTTTATGATAAGCCAACATCCATAATATACCTGCAATCATTTCATATTTTTTCTTACTGATTTTCAGAAATGCTCTAACATAACTATAAGGTGGTCTTTCATACACAGTTAAAAATATCAAAATGTCATCTTCTACATTTCTATTATGTCTTCCTTTTATTCTCAACACACAATTGATTATAGCTTGGCTATCTCTCCAGGTTTTACAATTTTCACATAAATCTTCTTCACCCAAAGCATAATCAATAATATCATTTATTATTCCATTAGGTAAGTTTAATTTATACAATTCCATATTTTCTTTTTTGAAGTGGCAACAGTCATAGCATTTCTTATTAATATACTTATTGAGTTCAATACCGCTCATTTCTTCACTATTAATATAAGGTGTTTTTTCTTTAGGACTATTTCGCCTAAAACTAAATTATTAATTTAAGTCTTTCTATTATTTTATCACACGTTGTTTCATTATAAATATTACTTCCTATTTTTGTTCTAAACAACCCCATTGTTCTAATTGCATGTGTTATTGTATATCTAAGTTCGTCAATTCTATACTCATCATTTAAAAACTCATTTAAAAAATTAGACAATACAACATAGTTTAAACGTTTAATATTAAAAGACATATTGTATAATCTTTTTACCATACAATAATACTTAAAAATAAATTCATTATTATATCCTTCGTCGTCACATTCTAAAAAATGATCAAACCCTTCTATAGTTAAGAAATTATTCATTTCAATAAACACAAATATTTCTAAATCATCATCAAGAGTTTCATTATGTATAATATCAATATCTTTGTTATTCATATCATCAATTTTTTTATAATTCTATTGCAATTATTGCATATCATATATTGACAAATATTATTACAAACGCCATTTGCAAAACCCCGTTCAATTGGTAATTTGAGCATTTCACAGTCTTTACATTTATAACTCATAAACTTGTTTTTCAATATATTTTTAGCATTGATACCGACTGTATCACTCATTTCACTATAATATATTAAGTTATTATTTCTTCAAGTCATTTTGAAATCATAAATCTTACAATGTTTTTTTATTGTAAGGTTTATGGATTAAAATAATGGTCAGGCAATATGTCTTCAAATATGTAATCTACATATTTATCTATATCACCAATGTCTATATATTTGATATTGTTTTTTCCTATTATTGAATAAATATATTCCCAAAAGAATAAATACAACAATAGACATACTTTATATTTAGTGTTGTAGTAATACCATATACTATATTTAGTTGCTCTAAATTCGTTCAAGACTTCGTTTATTTTATCTTTGTCTAATAAATGCCAGTCAATCCATTCAAACAAATAACGGTATTTTTTGACAAATGCTTTATATGGTTTAATTGCGTTTATTCCTCCAAACCTCCTAATTAAATCTATATTACTAAAGAATTCATCAATTTCATTTTCAAATGACTTTCTGGAAATCTTCTGGTAAAAGTGTATAGGAAATCTTGCTTGGTGTCGCATAAAGAATTTTAATTGTAATTGAAACTTTGTATATCCCTTATCCTTATGTTCTTCAAGAAAAAACTTTTCAAGGTCTCTTGTTATACAGCATTGATTGCAATATACATTATATTCACTTATTTTATTACATACATTTGCCGGTAGTATATGATGTAAGGTTAAACTCAAATTATTCATTTTGCATTTACAGCATTCGCACTTGTTATAGTTAAACAACATTTCACTAATATTATAAGGCGTTTTTTCTTTAACTGTATTTCGTTTAATATTAAACTTTTAATAATTCGTGTCTCAAATAAGGATTAGTTTTTCCTTCCAAATGAAAGTAAGATTGTCCTAATTTACTATCAATTGATTTTACTTTAAATACTTCTTTTATCCAATGACTGGTATGTGCCTTTTCGCTTATGCCTTTCTTCCTCATTATTTTTACATTACTTCCTACGTCTAATTCTGGATACATTCTAGTTTTCTTTGCTTGCATTGTAATATTCATTTTTACTTCAAATTCATTCTTTTTCATTCTTGCGTCCTTCGGTGTAAATTTAGTTGCGGAATGAATATTCTTATTATTGTAAGTTAATAATATTTCAAAAATATAATCCGTCCATTGGATATTCTGCTTTCCATTTTTCTTGTCCGCTTCAACTCGTTTAAACAGTTGATCTTTAAAAGTCTGAATTCCACGCTCCGCAAATGCTGGGTGACCTCTGGTTCTATGTAATTCAATTTTCTCCTCCTTCAAATAATCTAATACTGATTGATTAAAAAAACTGCCTTCCTCGTCGGTAAAAATTAATTTCGGTTTGCCACCCATCTTATTGATATTCTCCATCATTCCTGCTAAAATGTCTGGCGGTGTCTTGGATTTAATTGGCACGATATGCATATATTTGCTAAAAAATAATCAATATCATTCCAATTCTAAATGTTTGATTTTCCAAATCATTTTTAGAAATGAAAAACATATCAACTTGAAACTCCCAGAAACTATGCGGAGCAATAAAACTATTTTCACCTCTCATCTATCTTTTTTCTTCTACATTCTTACTAAAGAATTCATTAATATCGTTTATTGTAATACTACTATCTTTTTGCTTAGCATCCTTGAGGGTTGTTTGTTTTGAACCATAACCGCTTCTATCATAATATACACTCTTAATAATTTCTTGTGTTGAACTCATTAATTAAGTTAATAAAATAATTTTGAAAAACTCATTTTCAAAATTATTCATGACGCGCTGCAATTGCAATAGACACAGAAGGCGGTGCAGTTTTCAACTGTGTGGCATAACTCATTATCACAACGTTGAGCAGTGAAGTTAGAACTTATTTTTCCTCTTCTTGTATCTAGATTAAATTTAATTCCGCAGCTTTGGCAACAGGATTTGAAGTATTTTAAGCACCAGTTTTCGTCAATGTATTGCTCTTCGTCTATTTCTCTTTTTGCTACTCTATCTTGCTGTTTATATCCTTCAACTTTGTTTTTAAAATAGTTGATTACCAAACTCTTAAACATATCTTCATCTCCCTCTTTGTTCTTGTAAAAATAGACATTGTTAAAATCCCTCGCTCGTGTGATACTCGTCCACAACCATTCCCTACAAACTAAATAATCTTTGTTCCATTCGTGAATGGTCATATTATCACTGATTGATGTCCCCTGTCTGCTATGAGTGGTAGCACAGTAGGCATATCTAAAATGCTTATCTACAATATGAATGTCAAGTGTTCTAATGTTCTCTGTATCCTTAATATCTTGTATTGTTATCTTGTATCCTTCGTTATTAACAACCTTCCACCTAATATGAACATTCAGTTTTCCTTCCTTGTCCTTTT